CAACAGAATGTAATTGGAGAAAATGAGCAAATTCGCCGCGGTTTCTAGTGAAAACAATTAAGAACAAATAATCGACGAGACGAAACAAGTTTTCAAAAGTAGGGAAAGGTTTTGAGCTTTTAGGTTGGAGTGAAAACCATCATGTTAGGAAAAATGGAAGAAGTTGAAAGGAGAAGCAAAATTGCTTTTATTAACCGAGATGAGATGATCGTTGTATGAAATTGATGAGAAAATCTGCAAATTTTATTTCATTAGAGATGATGGAAACAATTCTTTCCAATTCGAAAGAAATTTCGTGACCAAATCACCTGCGACAAACGTTTCGAAAATTCTACGTTGGCACACCAAACTGATATAATTTGTATTGGTCACTTCAAAAGATGAGTGTTCAGGCTGAAGGGCTAACTCTACTGATGAAGCAAACAAAAACAATTAATTTACTTGCCTCCAATTAAAGTTTTGAGGAAACCTCGATTTTTTTCTTTAGATTTTTCCTTTCCAAGCAAAATAAGTTTAAATTGATGTGAATTTTCTTGCAAGTGCTTCTGGAAAAAAAGGAGTGAAGTTTTGAGCTGAAATGACAGTGAAGGATTTGCAAATAAATTGCAGAAAGTTTCCTGACACACTGAAGAAAAGAGCGAAATTTGCGACCACATAAAAGATAGAAATCAATTAGAAAATTGTTGAGAAAATGCTCTTTTAATTATTGCAAAGAGAGATAATTGAAACTTCCTTGACCAATGATAATCGCTACGTTTTAATTTCAAAAGTGATCCATATTAATTCTATAATAGTAGATTTTGCATCAAAAAATTGATCACCTAAGGAAATGAAAATTAAAGTAACTAGTTTCAAGCACAAAGCTATTTTGCAAACAATTATTGTTATTAATCAAATGTGAAATATTTCTGTTTGTTCAACCGACTGCATGAATTCAAAATCAATTGAATTTGAGGTGTAAAACTCATCTCTGAAGTCACTAGCCTGCGACCCTCTGTGGATTCAGAGGAAATTCATCAACGAAAAAAGAAATGCGAATAACTTGCACCTGCAAAGACCAGAATGGTCAAGAAACTGCGAAATTCGAAAAAGAATTATTATTTTTTTTAAACATTTTTAAATTTGAAAGATATCTGTTCTGCTTGACGGACGGCGTTTTGATGGAAAATGACTCAAAAGTCACCAGCCTCTGTGGATTCGGAGGAAATTCGTCAACCAAAAGTGCATGCGAGCTTTCCTTGCACCAACGAAGACCAGAATGGTCCAGAAACTGCAAAGCCAAAGAAAGGCTTGATCCTGTAACTTGATATTCTCCAACAAGAATATTCTTAACCCTCCGCAAGTCCTGGTTTGGCCAATATTTTAGCATATAAATAATTAGAAAAATTAACTTACAGCTATAAAAATAATAAAATTTCATGTTTTGTGTCTAGTGCAAAGTCCAAAATTAGAATTGAATTTGACTTACTTTAAAATAAAAATCATCTCCAAAACTGGCATCAACAGAGAGATTTGGAAATTGCCCTGAGCAATAGTTTTATGTGAATTGAATCAACCGAGAATCCCTCTTGGGAATGACGAGCGGTAGCAGTCATGCTACATCTGCGGCCCCTCTCAATTCACTGAGAGAACGACGAATCAGATAAAAATTGATTTTGCCTGCATATATGTCTGGTGAGAAGAAAATACCAGAAATAGTTCATCAGAAAGTAAGAAACACATGCCAGTATTTTTTAAAGTTGCTCGCAAATTCCTTCAATAAACAATTAGTAATAAAAGTTTCAGTTTCCTTGGAGAAATGAATATTTTGTTTGACAAATTTGTCATAAATCAATAATTTGAAAGAGCTTGTGAATAGGTTAAACTTTGCAATTAAATCTAAATCTTTCTCCAAAATGAAAAATAAAGTTCAATTCAATTAAAAATTAATACCAAATTTTTTCAATGGCAGTGAAATTTTCTTCACTTTGACTCATTCGAATGAGCACCAACGTGAGAGGGGACTGCTGTCCTAACGTTCTACAAGTTGTCTGTCTGAGCCAGGCAGCAGCAATTTCCACCGAGAATTAAGTGAGTGGGAAAGAGATTTCGTGAGGCTCCGAGTAGAAGATTAAATTTTTAAATGACAATTTGTCGTCATGTTTTGATACAAAGACTTTCAATCAAAGGATTGAATCTATTTAACTTTATCAATTTAAAAAAATCTGGAGAAAATGAGCCAAAATTCTGATCATGTCAGACATTAAAATCAAAAAGTTTCTGTTAACAATTGTTTACCACGGACGGAGAAAAGTGGACAATTAAATTTTTTACGCAAATGAGTATCTAAATTCTAGTTCTTTTAATGGCGAAAGAAAATTTAAAGCCGCAATGATTTAACTTCTGTATTATTAATAATTTGACAATAAATTTCGCCACGTTAGTTTAGATAGGACCGAGAGATGCATATCCAAGAGGTGCAGTGAGGAGTTTATTTCCCTCCGAGCAGGGATAAGTCTTTGCATTAATTACTCCAGGTAGAAATATGGAATTTAACAAAGTTTATGGTAGGAAAATCAGCTTTATGATTTGATGTAGTAAAGAGCAAAAATGTTTAAGTTTTAATTCTGAATCCGTTTTTGAAACAAAAAAGCCCACAAGTTGTTAACAATGCAGTAATTAACCCTGGAAAGCCACTTGCTCTTTTTGGGAATTTTTTTAGTTTTGCTCCGTCATGTTAGATGACAAAACCAAAAGTGAAAATGCGGAGAGGAACCCGCAAGCACAGCCAGTTAAACTGTTCAAATGTGGCAGCGAGTTTTGCACAACCGAGTCTTCTGGAAAGAGAGAGAGAGAGGAGATAATTATTTGCACGAGTCTCCCTGTAATTGTGTGTCTGCGAGAGGTTGTGCGGGGTGGGTGGACATCCTTATGTCCAAAGTGCTGTGCAGGGTTGTGGAAAAGAAGAATTCCACAACCGCAGGGTGGATATTGGTTGCAAGTGACCCCGTCTGAATTGAATTTTGTCCCTTTGCAAGAGTCGCTTTGACACCTCCGAGATTGTGGCGAGTAATTTTGGCAAACGCGCCGCCACCTTTTCTCATATATTTGCCAATAATTCCACTTAGAGATTTTTGTTTGTCTGGCTTCGGCACTTAACTGCAACCCCAGCGGCTCCCCCCTTAATTGCTAAAAGAAATAGAATCAGTCCCTTGCGTGTCGTAGCCAGTTAAAGTTAGCTTCAGTTTTTTTTTATTTTGCAAATTGAGGCCGTAGTAGTGGAGTAGTTTAACTGGGTGAGCTAGTGAGAGGAGCTGGATGAGGACCGAGGCGCACTAAGCCGTGGACCTGCCCAAGACATGCGTCTGACCTGGAGGCGGAGCAAGACACACCAGAGCCATACACGCACGGTGTACGAGAGAAAACCCGAGGATTAAAGCACAATGACCTGTCTGTTAAACCAAATCCGTTCAAGATGATTCTCTGCAGTCTGCAGAATTTGCCAATACTTGTAAATAGTCTGAGTGACGTTTGAGCATATTGTTGCCCTACTAGTTTTTAGAGTGGTCACACTTGGACCGCCTTTGTTATTTAATTTAATGCCTTGTACATAAAATTTTCATACTATCTTATCTGATTCTCAATATTTGCTTTCGGTCGAGACAGAAGCAACAAATGTGTCTGCATTGTTTACACTATAAATTGTACAAGCATAAATCGCAGCCAAATTTTGCAGCACAAATTTAATAATTTTAACGCTGCCTAATTCATAACATTTCTTTGTACCATTATTGATTGAATGACGCTGGAGCAGTCTATACGACAATTTTTTTGCCTCACCGACCTCACTTTGGGGCGCAGACATTTATCGACACATAAAACAATGTAAAATGAAACCTTCTTGCAACCGACAAAACACTTACATTAGAATTTGTAACAAAAACCCATGGCGCCTTGATTACGTCCAAAAACACGGAAAGCTCCTTTTCTTAATCAAATTTTAGTGTTTTTTTCCCATCTTTTTTTTTTCAAACACCTCTGCCGTTTTTTGTTTTGCATTGAGACCGAGTGAAACGCCAGTTGGGCATCAAGAAAAACTGGTCACATTCCTCGAGGAAGTCTGCACTTGCTCCCCACGCTCTGCGCGCGAATTCGGTTGAAAAGCTGAGGCCTGGGGTCCTTAGCGTAAGTTTCGGATCCTGGGAATGACCTAGTGGAGTATCCGTTTCGCTCAACGAAAGAAAGATCAACAGCGCAGAAGGTTGGTTGGGCCGGGTAAGCACGGCCTATGTCCCCGTGCTTAAGAAACTCGCCAGCCAACTCGTGGCAGGCAAGGCCGATTTCTCGGGGGGCTCACAGAGGTGCTTATTTTTTTTACTTAAGAGAATTTTTTGCCCGGAGCTGAAAGTGTTATCCTTGTGCGCGCCAAATTGAGTTGTGTAAAGCCTGACACAAATCATATGTAAATAGCTCTTTCATTATGAAGCATTGTTTAGACTACACAAATATTTGTCTATTTATGATTTAATTCATCTAATATTTTATTTGATTGTCTTACATAAATAATATTACTTAATTTAAAATTTGAAAACTTTGCTTTTTATTTATCTCTCTTTTTAACGCCTTTATATTGTAAGAAATCGATTGAAGTCCATTTTTTCAAAAGGTGAGTGCTTCTTTTCAACCCTGTGAACATTGTTTTTCAACTTTGTTATTTACAGCTGAATTCCTGGGCCTCCTGGGGTCAACGTCTGGTTTCCGGATCTGCTTCAGGTAAATGAATCCATTCTCATCTTAACCTCCTCTACTTTGGTCCACCCCTGGTGCAGCCCTGCCAGGGTGGCGCGTGGGAATTTTGCTTCCGACGCGCCTTCGTGGACCTTCGAGGCCTGGGGCACCTCCGGCAAGGCGCCGTCCAACCGCCAACGGACGCTGCGTTGCTTGAGGTACTCCGACCTCAACTCATTTTTTCTTCTGCCACTTCTCTTGAATTTTTATGAGGACATTTTGTGTTGCTTTGCCTCTTTTTTCTGACTTCAGAGCGACCAGGAAGTGCAATCCTGTGACCAAAATGTGAATATCGGCTGACCTGTGCAACAATCTGGAGATTTTTACGAGGTTTGTTTCATTTAATAATATGACACATTTTTTTTTAGTAATTATACCTTAATTATTAATAATTTAATTATAGAATAATTCTTAACACTATTGTTAGAAAACAATATATTTTAAAAAAAGAAACAAATTCTTGAACTTGCCACTTAAAATTACACTAACTAAAATTATTATTTATTTTCCCACAGACACCTCTGCCTTGCAAGCCAATGGAGTGTAGAATGGTAAGAGATCCTTCTGAACCATTTTTATCATCAAATTCTCAATCAAAATTTTCTTTCGGTCGCAGAGGAAGCACCGGCAACCGGATCTGCTTGAGGCCTGGCCAGGAAACCGATCAAGCAAGAAACGTCAGGCTGCAGTGGACGCCAAGGGGGCCATCGACTAATGCCTCAGGATGGGGGCCAATGTGGCCTTCTCAACTGGCTCGACGGTCACCCACGAACAAGGAAATGGTTCGATTAGGATTACCCTTCCTGCAGGTTAAAAGCAGCTACTACTGGAAAGGCAACTATAGCTCCAGCATGCTCAAAGTGCGTTGGTGAGTTGAAAGTTTTGAATTTGATAATTAATAATTTAATAATTGGAACACTCAAGTAAAATTCAACAAATGTAATGCATGTTTTTTCTCTAGTGTTTTTCACACGATGCTGCCAGTTTCCAGTCCTACGCCTCGGTTGACTCTTTTGCACTTGCTGCCCTCTTTTGCCACTTCTGATTTTGTCGCAGTCACTTTTGTCAATTAAAAAAGGTTTGTACTTTCCTTTTGCTCTAATCTTAAATATTGAAATCTTATTTTGCTGATTTTTTAGAACCCTGTCAGTATTTACTAAAGGGCAGTTTTGCCTCCCGACTCAGTCAGCAGAAGCCTTCCCTTCAATTACCCATCGGAAGGTAAATATAAATTTTATATTTTTTCTAAATAACTTCAAGTTATTTAAAATAGGAACTTTGCACTATAAGTTATCAGAATGAGTTAGTTAATATATAAAATTTTGTTTCAGCACTTTCGATTTGATTGCATGCGGAGTCGCCCGATAATATCTGCGTGTTGGCACTACAGCTGAAAATTATTTGTAAAAAATTTATAAAAATCGATTTTTAGCGTGGTTTTAAAACTCATCAACACACTTTGTATGTACGGCAAAAAGAAAAAAAACATTTTGTGGGGTGTTTTTATTTTTCACCTGGGTCAAGGGGCGATGGGTCCCATAAAATCTCTTAATATTGTTAGAAATTTTTAATGGTTCATTTTCATAAGACATGGAAGACTTAATCAAGCATACTGCTGCGCTTTGAGAGGTTGCTTGTGTTGCAATATGATTTGGCCGAAATTTTTTTTAAATAGGAAATACAAAAGTAGAACCCTTTTTTAATTTACTTTTCTCTATATTAATCGTCTGGCCAGCGATATTAATTTGGTGGGGCTCAGGTTTAACATAGCTTGTGTTGGTCAAGACCAAGTGTCTATGGCCAAGATTGATTATAGGAGACCAGCTTGTTGCGCAAATAACTCTGCTAGAAGCGAATTGCAATGGTAAGTGCTATTTAAGGATGCAGCCTTGTCACCTTTTAACGTGCGCCATGTAGACAAATGTCACTGGTTGTAAGGCCATCATGAAACAATTATTCAAAAGTGCACAAATTATACATTTACATCGCTTGTAGTTCAGTTAAATGGTTAGTTTGAAGTTAAAAATTAGAGGCTTCCTAAATAATTACCACGAAAAAAATTGCACTTTATAAAAATTGTTCAATTGTAACTAAAAACTTGAATAATTTATCTACATCCGTTCTAATACTTCGAATGATGCAAGTTAAATATGTAAAATTTTCAAAGTAAAGTTTGACTATGTCAAATTAATTAGCATTTTATAGATGAATTTATTGCTCTTGTTATGATATATTTGTAAAGAGCAAATTAGGCATAATTATGATGACATTACCAAAAACCTTAAAATCTGATTGTTATTAAATGGTTATGTCAGATTATCTATAACGTCAATTCAATTACCGATTATAGATCTTCAATCAAATACTACATGGCGCTATCATTTTGTAGATGGCCTCGGCTGTGGAGAGATCTTAAGGCTTTTCTTCGTTCTTGCTGGGCGTTCACATAAAAGATGCACTGCCACAGGATCTCTTTCCTTGGAAAAAATTTGCTAGGTGAATGAGCGTCCATTTCTTCTCTGATCGTATTCACTCTGCACTTTGCAGCTGCAGAAAATAAGGAATTAGTTTTCTGCAATGAGAAGAAGAACAGGCTGTCTATCAAATGTTTCTAACTGCGCCTTTTGTCTTAATTCTTCAAAACAAGGAACCAGCAAAATTTTATGAGTTAATTGTAATGTTGTAAAAATCACTATGATTTAACAAGAAACCTTTCGTAATTAACTTGAACCTTAGCATGATATAGATTCTTATGAAGAGTTGATCAGCCACAAATTTCCTTATCAACGTTTTGAGGGAAGGGAAGAGCGCTATAAAAATGGTTATTACTTAAAAAAAATTATGTTGACTTGCAACTACCGCATATACCCACCAGCAAACCTCATACGTAAACTTGTAACGATTAAATTATTATTTTTTTAAATTATGCCTTTACTATATATTTCACAAAATTATAGACAGCATTGGAAAATGATTAGTTATCCTAGCATTTTCATTTCAACTAATTATGCCATGCTTTAGATTTTTTCATAATTGAATCTTCATGGAATTTCAAATTCAATGTATATTAATTGCGTGAACTTCAATTAAATTACCAACCAGAAGCTAAGAAAAAAGGAGTTTGATTTTTATCAAGGGTAATTTTTGCATTTTACCTTCCGCGCTTTTATATTTCGGCTATATTTTAATAATTCACTAGCGGAAAACTATGTTCAAATATAAGCAAATTTGCTAATTGATCGCTGGAAACCATTTTAAATTTTTATAAAGCTCATAAAAATTTAATTAATATAATTACATTTTATATATTTATAATGGTAGCTTCAAATTACTTATGTAAATAAAAACTACTTTAACTCCTCCACTTAATTGTTTATTAAATTTATTTATGTTTTCTCCGTTTGATAGTCATGAATAATATATAGCAAAAAACTAAATTATTTTATCATTTTTAATTTCATATTTCCAACTGCAATTGTGTTGTAAATTATGAAGAAAAAACGGTTAATAGACTTAAATTAAAATTTGAATCATTCATCACTCAGGGGTCTTGTTATCATCATTATCAAAATCACAAAATTAATTTCTTAGCTATAAAAAGCAAAATCTATTTTGCACTATTTTGAAAAAAAAAAACGAATTATTTGATAATTCATTTTTGTGTCTATTCAATCAATAACGTATGCCGATCTTCTATTTTTCACTTTTTATTGTTTTAAATTTAACTGAACATAAAGGAAACAATTTTTACAGAGCAATCTCTTTCAACTATTTTCAACAATTTTGCCTGACTGGCTATCCATCCCATCATTCCGCCTGCTCAAACGTGTAATGCGTTCCTTGAGCAGGAAGTTGCTTCGGCAAAACAGGTCTATATAGTTTAAAGTCGTAGGTCAAGTAGTAGATGCCAACCAAGGATCCAATGAAGCCAATGCACACAAGAATTTGTTTCGAATATGGGACGCTCGGCTTGGCTGAAATATTCCATCGATCTTCTCCGTAGGCGTCAGCATGAACGTGGATGGGATCGCCGAAATTTCTTTTGTGTTCAGGGAAGTCCCAATTGTAGAACGGATCTTTAGACTCGCCGGAAATGTCCGGCAACTTGGGGTAGTCACCCAGGCCGAAGCCATCATCAGGGTAAGGCTGGTACTCGTCAGGGTGAAGACCGTACTTCTTGGCGGCAGCACGTCGCTCCTCCTCCGTTTTGGGGTACGGTCCAGGAGCGAAATCTTTGTTCCATCCTCCTGCTGACCTCACAGCTTGGAAGGTGATGGCACCGTTCTTTCCTGTCGAGAGGCTCTTCCTCACAAGGCTTCGGAGAAGAGCCATGGTTGAAGACCTAGAAGGAAATTTATGTTATAAAAATTTTCAATTAAAATAATTTTCAACAAAGATAACAATTTGTAAAACGTTTTTGGTCTTCGAAGCTGGTTCTTGGTAAACCAGATTTTGACACCTCATGAACCTCGTAAAAACATCGTTACATGTCAAATCTCTGCACTCTGAAAGCTTTGCAGTATTCCTTTTTTACCTGGGATTAAGAAGAATGATCTGCTTGGCGTTGTGAGACTGAAACTTTCTTAAAAATCTAAAAGAATTGCATGTTTTTCGCCCGCCGACCACAAATTTTTGCAGTCTGCATGTACAAAGTAGAGAGCAGCAATGGCTGCGCCGCGCAGCCAATCAGAAACGCTGTCGCCTTCTCGGCAAGCATTCATTGGTCAACGCCTCTGTGTCGAAAGCTGTTCCAATTTTGAAATTCCAGTATATTTTATTCGGAGTTTGGTGATACAACCAAAACAACATCAAATTTTTTTGAATCTTTTTTTAATCGTGGGCGTGTTATGTGAATTTAAACAAATTCGACTGAAATGCGCCTATAATGACTTTGTATTTACACATGATGGCTTAAGCAATGCATTTGATCAATCTTATCTGTAAAAATATACATGATGTTAGGCAAAATACAAGTCTCCAATTGCTTCGACTCTTCAAGAATCAATACAAATAATAAAGCAGGGTCTAATCTGGCAGGGGGTGCTGAATCAACTTTGATTTTTAAGTAATTGCAGCTCAATATTTATAAACCATAACTTCACCTCTCACCTAAGAGCCCACTTGCCAAAGCTAGACCCTAGCTGCAAATAACAGTAAAAGTGCCGACACAGAAATTAAAATTAAAAACTGCTCCAACACGATTTAGTGCATAAGGATCCCCATCTCATTTACACATACATTTCTGTAACAAGATATTAGTAATTTATGTCTAAAAAGTACAAGACAGGCAAGTAAATTGAATAATAGCAGCAATTCAAAATGAAAAAGGCTCAAACGTTTTGTAAGCAGCAATTTCCAATCAAAAGCACCTAATATTTGTATGAATTAAAATTAATGAAGAATCAACCACTCGGTTCTTGATAAAAGTTGGCTTAAAGACTTTAGCCACTTGCAAAATCATTCATGGTGACATTTCATAAGTGAACACTGAATCCCTATTATTCCAAAATATTCACTGACAACTCTTGAGTGTGTCCCATCAACAGAGACCTCTATAAATACCCGAGTACACACCACGATTATTTATAACAAGTCCGTATAGAAACTGCTCAGTTTTTAATTATTATTTAGAGTTCGGAGCCATCTGCAGGAACTGTTCGTAGGCGTCCTGCAGCTCTTCATCCATGCCCTCATCGTCATCTCTGCTTAAAAAAAATCTACTATCAGCCAAATTTCTCTACGATGTTGTCCAAAACTTACCCTCCTTTGTTAGCATTTAGGCCTTCTTGGAGGAATCTGCTCTCTTCGGCAGTCAAAATCTGACCATCAGGTCCGTAGTATACGGGCTCGTTCTAACAAAAATCAAAATAAATTCTCTGCGCTGTGACGTCTTTTTGAAATTCTTACAGTGAAGTGGTTTGACTGATGAGAGGCACCGTCAGCACTGCTCCATTGCGGCTGGGCAGGGGAAGGTGGTGATCTGCCCCAGGTCTGGTGTCGCAGGTTGATGACACTCTTGGCCAATATGGCCATGTTTGGCTTTAGATTGGGACATGACTGAGCCTGAGTGAGAAGTTCCTCCAACTGGTCCATGGAGGCCGAGTCCACTTCCTGCTCCAAATGCATGCCGGCAAGCTAAAAAAAATTACAAGTACAGTAGAATAAAAAGGTTGAGTATACCATTGAAATTCTCTGTGGGGTAGATGTGAAAGGGAGAGTAAAGGAATTTGAGCTCAGATATCAAAGTCTCACCTTCAGCACTTGGCAGGCACATTTGACATTGTCGTCGTTTGGACTGGAGAGCAAGAGCTTGAGATCTTCGTACAGTTCTTGACCAAGTACCGATATTTTGGCTCCTGTGCCCTTTTTCGTTTCCAGCTGGATAAACAGCTCGGCCAAAAAGAGCGTGAACGAATGTAGCCTCTTCGGATCGGCTTCGATTAATTCTTTTACTTGTTCATTTTCTTGGTGACATCTGCAAAATCATAATAATTAAACATCGTTTCATCTTTCAACCATTCAAATTCGCACCTCTCCAGAAGGATATTTCTGAAGGCAGAGCCATCTTCGGTGTTGTCAAGGTTGTTGAGCAGGTTGCAGAGCCGTGCACCGTTGTACCTAAAGTTCGGCTCCATGATGGAATGCTCGAGGATGAGACCTATTGCCGAGGTGATCACTTCCGGCTCGGTCAACCACTGGCAAAAGGTGTCTCCGAGGGGCATCACAAGGTTGTCAAATTCACCGGGGTTGACGGTCAATTCGCTCATTGCCGAACGCAGCAACTCCGTCGGGCCCGACTGTCGGACAGACAGGAGGAAATTATACACAAACAAGAATTTCACAGTTAAACTAGTGCGATCAGTTTCAAAGTACACAAAATTAAATGATATTCAGGCAAGTAGGTAAAGCAAAGCTGAATTAAAAAGTCAATGCAGTGTTTCCGACGAGTAAGCTGAAAACAGGACACGTCTCTACCTTTTTCACATCAACATTGATTGCTACTGTGAATAAACTGGAATCTACCAGCAGGCCGAGTTGCAATGATGATCTACTCAAAATAAGAATGTTATGCGGTGTAAATATAAAAAAAAAAATCATTTATCGCGTCAAAACAAATATGAGCGTTCTATTAATTTCATATTGTATTCCATGGGCATTTATCGAAAGGGAAACCAAATCGATTTACAACCCCGAGGCCAGCAAACAACAACAGAGCAAAAAACGAAAAAATTGTCCCAAAAAACGAACAAACGTCGAGTGCAACTCGCTAAACAAACTGAGCCCAACAACAAGCTGAAACTGAGAGGTAACATCGAAGGAAGCAGCGCGCAAAATAAGTCAGCAGCCAGTAAAAGAACGTGAAAGAAGCAGCCCAGGGTGATTAACGACAAAAGTAGTCCCATTGATTGTTAGTGTGCCTCAGCAGCAAACAGATGCCTGGGTTTGGGGTGAGATTGATTTAGAATAGAGACGGACAGGGTGCAGACATGCGTGGACACGAGAGCTCCGTCAACGGACGACACAATTTTTGCAGAGATTGAATTATTTTGCACAGAACACAGAACCCTAACAATAACAAAAAATAATGCTCAATTTTAATTTAGAAAATATTTTTTTGGTGCAAAATATTGCCTCAAACGCAAAAACAGTGTGCAGAGATGCGTCTAGGAGCTAATTGGATGCGCACCTTGGACGACCAGTGAGAAGAGGGGTTAGAGGGGGCGGCCATCGGCCGGTGAGGGACGGCGGCCGGCACGAAGCTGGCAGCAGGAGGCACCACCATCATGAACCTCTGCTCTTCACCCCCCATGTACATAGGCTGCATTGTGCAGTGGTAGTCGGCAGGGTCGGCGGAGCCATTGGCCCAGGGCATGAGCATCGGCGGGAAGCCCGGCGCCCCGGCGGCCAGCGCCTCAAACCCCAAAGGTATTGCATGCTGTAACAGCGCCATGGTCCAAAATTAATACCAACAACACCCGCACCTTGGTACCCACCGACTCGTCAGGCCACACATCAAAATAATGAAACACGAACGATTCCGCCTAAAAGGTTTTAGTTAGCACCTCCAATTTTCATTTTTCTTTATCTTTATTTTTGCTTGACTTGATTTGCTCTTTCGCAACTGGTGACCGATTTGGATTTCTTTTTTTAATTTTAATAATTGATTTATTTTATGCTTACACAATTGAAGAAGCAAAGCTTGGAATTGATAAAATAATTGCAAAATCGTAGGGTGATTCATACTTTAATTTTTTGAGACTGACAAAAATAATTAAAGAATTGAAGAGTTAATATTATTGCTGTTGATTTTTTCATTTTTCCGTACCAAATGTATTAGTGTAATTGCCAGACGATTAGGAATTGTGTGAATCACCCTTGTAAATATTTGATTGTTCAAATCATAAAATGAACGGCAAGCTGATAAAAATAGGAAAACATAAAGTTTGTGAAGATTGACGAGTAAACTTTACAAGTCAATTAGCCATACCTGAGATGAGTTCGGTGATGCCATTGCTCCGTAGCCTCTAGGATAAAACTCCTGGGCGTCTGCTGACAAGTTCGAGTTCTTGGCCAAGTCTGATTCGTCTGCCATTATGTCTGAAATAAGCAATTGAAAATTCAGTTGATTCATATAATATTTATGATAATTTCTTTCAAATCATATTTGTTGTATTATTTTCTATTGATAATATTATAAATACATAAATTATTTTTTAGGTAAATTGTAAAAAAAAAAACGTGTGCAAAGAAAGAGGTTTCACAATGCTGACCTAATTAAATTACAACTTAAAAGTAAAAGTGGAGAAATTGACAAAACCAGTTGATATTCGGTTTACAGTTTATTTTGATTGGCGGAACAATTTTGATTTTCGGGTGCCGTCAACCCCGACCATCGGCAACCTTGGTTGACTGCAAGCAAGGCGGCCGAGGGTGGCATGCGCATTGTTTACAGCGTGGCCGCTTCCACGCACCTGCTGCCGCCCGAGTACGCGTCGCGGCCGCCGAAAGAGCGCGGGCCGGCGACCGGCCCTTTGGGTCGGGGCTTTGGAGGGGACGGCCGGGGCACTCGGCGGCCCGCCTGCGGAGCCCCGTCGGGGGGCGGCGCGGCGCCACACACTCGGCATGCAACGTGAAACGTGACAGGGCCAAACCATACCTGAGGTCGGTTCGCCGCTAATTGGCTGCTCAAGGGCCTGCTGGCTGCGCTAGATCACTCGCTGCTGCTGCACCAGAACGAATTGCTCATCCGTGGTGAATGTTGTTCTCGTTTTCTGCTGGAAAACGGCAAAATAAGCACGCGGACCTGGTCGCTGGCGGAGATGGGCGTCCTTGTGTCGATTTGGGTAGGATGACCGCAACCAAGGAGTAGCGAAAACGCTTCCATTGACCGCCGCCGATGCTCGCAATGGAGGAGGTCACGTGACGCGGATTGCAGCATCCGATTGGCCCGTCGCGCGTCACGTGATCGCATGAGATTTGCAGCGCACTCGAGTTGGAATGCTCCTTGATTCTGTCAAAGCAAAAGCCCGCAAAAGTTGTTTTCGTGAGGCCTCGCAAGGTTTTATGTAATTTTAAATTCTACATCCAATTTATTAACATTTCAATTTAATTGAATTTAAATTCAAAAACCAATAAATACTATTAAAGAGGTTACGTTTTTAGTTGTTAAAATGCCATTTCAAACAGCTTGAAACAGCTAAACAATTCATATTTATATAATTTAAAAATCACATTATGCTGCATTATGCATAGATAATTTTCTAAGAATTGTTATCAGCAACGGTATCAATGATACAGAAAATTCGAGACAATTAAAAATTATATTGAATTTCAAAGTTGAGATAATTTTTATCGATTTTTATATTCGATATGATAGGTATAAACAAGTTTATTCGTTCTCCGTATCATATCATACCGCAAAAAATATTTTTGCACCAGTATTCAAAAATTGAAAAATCAATACCAATTTATGTTAATTGGAATTAAAAAGAAATGGAAAAATATTTTGAAATACCTAAGATTATCTTGTAAAATTATTCAAAATGAGGAACAATTCTTTAGGAAAAACATGTTTGCTGAAAATTAAGGATAGTTCCGAATGGTGTCCGGGGTAGGAGATGAGAAATAAATTCTCACCGGCTTTTCAATTATGCCTAGATTGCATCCATGATTTTATTTCTAATTTATTTCACATGCTTATAGTCGACACACTGAATACACAAAATATACATTTATCAAGCTGTTTGGCTTGCTTATTTTTCTTCAATATTCCGTCACACTAAAACCCTCTCATAGTTTTTATCAGGCGAGAATTATAAAAAGAAAGATCAAAGATTAAAAGGAATGATTAAAATCGGTGCTGCACCTCTACAAAACTTGTTTCACCATCAAACGACGCATAATGCTTTAATTTATTTTCATTACCTCAAATACCATTGAAAATGCAGGCAGACTAAATGGAGCAATTTTAGGAGCGAGGAAAAGCAGAAAAAATGCAATTGATGATATGTGAGCGCGAAATGCAGAATGGGAATGATATTGTGAATGATTTGTTTGACTAGCTAGCGACTCGGCAGACAAATTATTTCTCACTCTTACAGCCTAGTTAAAATATATTCATCAGCCTAGCCAGAAAAATTCCTCTTTTCTTTCTCGGGTTGAAAGGAAGGCACAGCGAGGTCTCTTGGAAAACGATAAAATCTAGCAGGTCTTGTGTTGGGAATTTGACAGAGTATGATCACTTTTATGGCGTGGCCGATCTCAAAGGACGCCAGCTTATGTGTGTTTATGAAATGTCCACGAGTTAAAATCCTTTGAGGGCAGCTCATTGGCAGCAGCTCAGTCGAGGAAAGGGTGGGTTGATGGTTTTGCCGCCTACTTGTTGGGCTCCATTCGGGCACGCAGTTTGGCATGCACCTGCAGGAATTCGGGTTTGGCGTTCTGGCCGTTGTGCTCAGCTTCCTCTTCTTTCTCATGCTGCAAAAATATGTTCCAGTTATTATTTAAAAATATGCGTCGGCAAAGCTTATTATATTCATTATAAAAAAATTCAAATGATAAAAAAATAGTCTTTTTGCAAACTAAAATATATATATTTTTTTTAATATTTTAGTTGCTAACAAAATGATTTTCTTATTCATTTTCTTTTTACAAATTTAAAATTGATTTTTTATTACAATTAAATTTTCTTTGCGGAGTTGGAAAAGTAATGAAAGTTAAGATGAGTTTGATGTTGAATATTTCTTGGAAAAAAGAGCGCAACCCATTAGCTGGTTAATTATAAGTAAGAGCACCAGGAGCAAAAATTAAAACAAATTAAAAGACAAATTTTCTTTCTTTAGAGAGCAGCAATTTCTCCAGCGCCTTGCACTCGCAGACGACGCGTTTCTCCAATATATGTGACACCCAAACGACGACGTTTGAAATGCAATTAAAGGATTTTAAATGGATCGCACACGCTGCTCATTTGGTGTCACGCTCAAGCGTTTCAATGAGTCGCTCACCGATTCGAGGCGACGGGCGCGCTCCTCTATCACTTTCTCGAACGCAGTTTTGTTGTTGAGCTTCTCTTTTTCGGCTTCCTTACGCGCCGCCTGGTCCCGATGCTTCTCCATCGCTCTCTGCAGCTCGCTCTTCTGGTTTAGCACGTTTTTGCCCACCTGAGGAGACAGACATGACATTTATTTATGAAATGAATTTAATCGCCTCTCTCCAAAACCGACGTGCAAGTGGAAAGTGCGAGTGACCAAAAACCGCCGTTTGTTTCACTCGATCGCCTCGCGTCAGGAAAGTAGAAAAATTTGTGCATACCCGAGAGACATAAAATGAACCGCTTATTCTTAGCCACAACTTTCAAGCAATCTGCATGTAAAAATCCAACAGGAAACAAAAACTTGACAAATAAGATAAGAATGGACTTGTTAAAATTTGCGGCTTTGCGTTTCACACTTTTGCAGAGAAAACACCTCGAAAAGTGTTGAAAACTCACTCAGGCTTGACGGAAATTTGTCAAGCGTAAAAGTCTCATTTGTTTACCCAATTTTAATTGAGTTTTCAACGATAACTTTCATTAATGGTGATATGGTGAAAATAAAAATTCCATTATTAGGCGTTGAATTAAAATTACCTTTTTGTTGAACATCAATTCTCGGTGCAAGCTTTTGTGGTCGTCAGAGTCGAGGCAAGGGTTTGCCGGTTTGCGAGGCATAATCAGGCCTTCGCCGTCCTTGCGGATATCCTCCGATCCGTCGTGGTCAGGAATCATTTCTACACCCAGCTTTAGCTCTGAAACAATTAAAATTTTTATGAAAAAATATGTCGGCATAATATGACAAAATTTACTTGATATAAATGTAAAATGATTGTAAAACACTAGAAATATGACGACCTAATTAAAAAATAAAAAATTTCTAACTTTGAGTTTTAATAATTTCCTTGAAGGTTTCATACTTCTTTGCATGCATGAAATAGTAATTATTATAAAAACAAATTTATTTCAAAATTATTTTTGATACATTTTTTGCATTAGAAAAACTTACAATTGAACCCAAGAATGGCATATTGTGACATTTTCATCACACCTTTGCATTGGACTGACCATAACAGTGCGGAATAGTTATCATTGTTCATTCACACCAATGCAATTTTTTGTACATCCTGGTGTCAGTACAAACTAAACACACTACCATTTAAGTAACGAGCATTGGCGTGATTAATTAAGAAACCGCATGAGTAAGATGTCCCTCCCACAGCGCGGTATCTTTTTTTGTAATCGATTATTCTTTCCTGCTTCGTCACTTCTAAAGGAAACTCGCGAATTATCCGGTAAACACAGGAGACAAAAAGAAGTCATGTGATTGAGCAAGCGGCGAGAGAGTGGTTTTTTCTCAATTAGAAGAAAGTGAAAAGCGCGTGGATGACAACACTAATTAATTGTTCGTCATGTGTCGCATCATTGTGTCTGTGTGCGTGTCTAAATTTTTTGACGTCTCTCTAACAGAGCGCGCTTTGAGGTGCGGAAGCAATTTGCGTTTCGCGTAATTACGCCTGGGATAGTTAAGAACGGAGCTGCCAGCGAGCTAGGGAAATTTGTGTCAAAGAAGGCAGTGGAATACTTAAAAATGCCATAAAGCCAGAATACATATAAATAGAGTATTACGGTTTTCATTTTCCAGTAATTAGAAATGATGAAGAAAGCGAAGAAATTATAACATTTGAAGTAAAAATTAAAATTGCTAATTGAGTATTACTTCTATTATTCTCTGTTAATAATGAAACAGAGAAATGAGCTTTGCTAACGTTTTAACACAAGAACTCTTGCATACTTTCACGATTGAAGCTTAAAAATTAAGATAACTTAACAATTTTTAAGAAACGGATCCAGTTATTGCAGACGTTTGATGATATTAAATTTTGCAAATATTTTTTGTTTGCTTTCGTGCTAATTTATAACGCGCCAATAATTTTTAGAAAAATTTGACGTGTTTTCAGGTAAAATTTTAAATTTTCTCTAATAACACAAAATGCGACTGGAACAAATTGAAGAAGATCGGTCGTGGCTATACTTTTGACTCGCGGAGAAATTCCAGCTCAACAATTTCAAGGCTTAAAAAAGCATAGTGGCGTCACGCGGAGTTATCAATTCCATGGTATGAATCGACAAACGCAGAGCGAAAGGAGCAGATCTGAAACAAAGAGGATTCGCGACGGATCTTGGCAGCTCTAGAAGAAGTGAAGGTATGCAAGAGCAAATTGGCCTCGATTTCGGCCGATTCCCATAGAGCCTCTCTCGCACCTGAGTTCTGGAATTTCTGCACCATGGCCCGGACGCTGGGGCGCCGCTCGACGTCGTCCTCCATCGGGCCGGCCAACAAGTGAGAAAGGGCGAAAGAAGCCGCCAGACTGAGAAGCACCACCGGGGCCAATTTTGCGCCTCGCGTTTAATCCAGTTTGCCGAGTGCGCGCCGGCCGCTCTCGGTATATCAGAAAAATAACACAAGGGGCGGCCTGAATATCACTTCCTAATTAAGCAAGCTTTGGAGCTGCGCTCAGCCGCCCGACAAGGGGAATTAAAAAATGGTTGGATGTGTACATAATTCGCTGGCTCCGAGCGACGCCAGGGCTGTTTTTGTTTTGTCTCTCTAAACGAAAGTCAAGTGCGCGGCTGAAGAAAGCGCTTTGGCAAAAACAACCTCTGGAAATAAACGTGACTTTTGAGACGACGGCCGCGAAACTTGTTCACACACAGAAATAGAAGCGCTCGTCTACATTTGGTGTTCTTCAAAGGATGTTTTCCAGAGGCTTTTCTTTCTCTTCCTCTCTCTGCGACTCCAGACGTCTATTTTCCGAGGCGAATTTCCCGCTGACACAACTTACAACTTCTCGTGGTGTTGTAATATGCGCGGTAAGGTATGGCTCGGAGAATTTTATTTTCCCCGTCAAGATTTTATCATGCATCCTAAGCAAGGACTCTGCGCTGAAACTTGTTTTCCCTGCGATGAGAAAATGTCAAACAATCAACTTGATATCAAATCATACATTCATTATTGCTCTCATCATCGCTCCGAAATTGTTTCAGGGTCGCATTAAAATTTCACTCGCGATGGAATTCTCACCATATTTTTAATTTAATTGGCTCCAATTACAAAGCGTCGAGAAATCCATCGCTGTCGCATTGTCGTGTAACTCTTCTTAGGACACAAAAAGTGCATTAACAAGAGTTCTCTCCGTTCATTTATATAGAATGTGGATGATCTCGTCGATTTTTCCAATCGAAATGAAATGCACTCGCGACCGCAGACCTTCGTATCAGGTTGGCGTGTGTGTGTGTGTGTGATTATTATTGTAAGACGAGCCGATCGACCAGCGGCAGCCGTCCGGTTCAATAACCCGAAACGACAAACGAACTTCTGCATCTCCGCAATGACATACCATTTAAACATCGGCGGCCGCAACTTTTGCTCTCAGCAATTCATTTCAAATTGAGCTGAATAGAAAGCAATCCGATTCTTTTATTATTTCCTCTTGGCCGAGGGAAATTTGCTATTAGAGATTGCACCGGCAATTACATGCAAATCGTGAACAGGAGAATTAGAGTAATAATTGAGCCGGTCAGTTTCAGCTCATCTCCCGGCGGAGAGAGCGATTTTCGCACGACTCCCTTTCAATTTGCATATAAAAGCGGCTCACGATTGTTTCGTGCGGCAGAATTAAAAATGCACTGGGGAGAGGAATATTTTAATTGGAGCTTTAATCCGTGAACACTTTAATTAATGACTTAATTGTTGGGATAAATACCCTTCTAAATTCATACAATGTGAAGGCTTGGAAATTGTCCCTTAATGAAATTAACTTATCGAAGAAACTAAATAATTAATACTTGTTCTTGTGAAATTAAATTCTGCAGAAAATATCAGTTAAATAAAATTTTGCAACACACTCGACTCTGGCACATGCAATTAGCCTCTGTTTGATTGAAATGCACATCGCGCCGGTAAGTTTTTTTCTGACAAAGAGATCAATGAGACGAGAAAATCGGTTCCCACCTGCTCAATGTTAAACTCACGCAAGACATGTTTCGTGCTTGGACGGATTTTCAATCAAACAGGAAAACACTCGAGATGAGCCGCCGAAGGCATTCCTTGTTACTTTCTTCGATTGCGCACTTTTGAATATAGTTCCTGATACATGTGCACGCACTTCATAAATAATGGATAAATTAGCTTCTCTGCCGGTCAATTACAATGCATTATTTCGTTATTTACTACCGCAGGCAGAAGTGAAAAGTTGTGGTGTTTTGTTTGACTTGGAAAGTATTTTTATATCGGAGAACAATCGCTCGCCGCCGCACACCTGACGCATCAAGCGGAAAAAAAGCAGCGGCGCCAGTGCGTGTGCTGCTGCACCTCGGCAGATCGCTTATCGCAAATTACGCAACTATTACGAAACGATATGGCCTCCGACCGAACCAAAAAGCAATTAAATCGACGTACGGCTACTTCTCGTGTGAGAAATCACAGGTGCTGTCGGTTTCGGAATTGAATTTTCAAGTGTTAGATGTCAAAATCGCCAGCTCTCAAGTGGAAACCATCACACAAATCTAGGCCAGCACTTATGGCAAATATTTATGCTCACTTTTTAATGGGTTAATAGTACTTGAATCACAGAAACATATATCAATGCGATTATACTTATTGAAAAACAAGCTTTTAACATTTAATTAACTATCTCTTTCTATTTGTAAGAGGTTGTTGAAATCCTTAGATTACGTTTTTGCAAGGTTGTTCCGATCAGTTCCGATTTACAAATTAGTAAGTATTGGAATTGATTAGTTTTTATTATCTTATTGGTAAATTTGAAATTAGCATGTAAGTTTATTTATAAATTACTTAATAAAATAGCCTAAAACACTAATGTTTAATTTATTTATTTTTTTAAATAATTGAAAATTAAAACCAGAAAAAAATACAATGTTATAATTATAGAAAATAAATTATAAGTTAAGAAATGTTTACACTGAAGCAAAATTAGCACACCCATTTTTTTCTAGGCGTGTATTTCCGTGAAAAATAATATCTGTTTATCCATCTGTTTGTTTTGAGAAGCAAAAATAATTATAATAATTAAGAAAAAAATACCGACTGTTTTTTCAAGCCTTCTGTCGAACTTATGAAAGAGAGACACAAGGTTAATTGAAGGGGATATGTGCGGTTGGTTTGTTATTTGAGCGGGTGCGCTGGAGTCGTTAAAACAACACAACTATGACGTGAGAACATTCAGCCGCATTCTCGAGAGATTCTCTATAAACACCGCAGAGAGAGAAGAGACGATCCCTGAGAGACGAGCATCCAAGAGCTTTTTCCAAGGTTATTTGCATATAGTGTGTCTTTATTCGCGCGCGAGTTAAATTTTAGCCGACGGATCTTGTTTCTCGCGTCGTTGGCACAAAGAATCGCCCCTCATATTCTCCGCACAATTATTTTTCGCAAAAATGAAAGAAACGAGTTGTTCTCGTCAAGTATAACCAAGTCTCCTTTTCATTACTCGGCGAAATTGAACGATAAAAATTTATAACGAGCAGTAACTGCCTTAATTAGACACGTTGGCAAATGAGATGTAATTACAGTTTTGGACGTTTGCAATAAAAATGACTGCTGTTGTTTTCGATCCAAATTATAGTTTTCATTTGGCACGACCGCTGCAATCTTGGCGTGGCAGGATTTCCCTTGCGCCAAGAACATCACGCATACTCTTGGAAAACGGCGTAAAGCAAAAACAAATAATGGAAACGAAAGAAAGAAAGAAATAATGACAGCGGGAGATATTCATCGTCCTGAAATAATGAGACCGCTGAAGAACAAAAAATGTGTACGTGCATATAATGCTATTGTGTTCGGCTGACTTAATGAGAGTTGTTTATGCTGGATTTTTATGAAAGCTTGCTGAATTATTGCGCTGCTCAGTCAGTATGCAGTGCGCTTATTTTGACTAACGCTGCGGAATCGACAGAAAAAAAGGAATAGAGGTGCAGGAAAGAGAGAGGCCTACAAACAGCGCATTCAACAATCAGAACTATTTGGAACGCAGACAATCATTTCAAATGGTCTCAAAATATTGGTGTTTAGAGATAAAATTTGCAAAAAACAAGACATAAAAAATATTAATATTTTAAAAATTATGATCAATTGAAAACTTTTGAAATGATTTAAATTTAATATATTTTTTAAAGGATGCAAGTGTTTTGAAGAAATTGTGAGATTGTTATCAAAGTTGAAAGTGCTTCACCAGCCGTAAAAGAAATATGAACTTTGACTTACTTGAGGGCTTCAGGTTGCTGATTTGCGTCTGCAGTTCTTTCAGCTCGTTGTCTTCGTCGTCACTGCCGCGCAGCTCCTGCAAGCAAAACACCAGAATCAGGAAAATCTCGCCAGGACGTCCCACCACAGACACCGGCAGTGGAGGGGCCTGCGCGCCTACCAAGCTCGGCCGCGGCCTCCGCAAGCGAGATGATATAAACAAGATAATATATGATCATGTGATATATGCCCCGAAATTTGTTCTAGGAAGAAAAAATTATGATAAAATGGTTTATTCCAGGGTTCACAGAATTAATGTTTACGCCAAAAACATGACGAATGGCGGAAGTGCAGAAAAATCCCGCGTCAAATGGCAGTTCCGCCGCAAACGCTGACGTTTTCATTTTGCAATCGAGAGCAAAATGACGTCTTTAAGAAATTCAAAATTTTATTTCCTCATGCTAGATAAATTTAAATTAAAATATTTCTATTATACAGTATTTATTTATAATTTTGCAATGAGCTCAACTTTTCCTGTAGCGCAAAGCAATTTTAATTCAATTAAAACAGTTTCAAAAAGTTCTAAAAACTAAACAGTTTTATAAGAGCTTTTGGATCTCTACGAAAAATCTGAATTTCGTGTTTAAGCCTGCGGAGTATAAAAATCGAGTTCATTGCTTTTTAATTTTAAATAAAAACTGGAAATTCTTGTAGTAAATTATAAAGAAACTAACACATCTGATTGTGAATGATTGCTAATTAAAGAGGTTAAACTTTGATAAAATCAAAAATTTACATTTGAAATCCTGATAAATCAAAATAATAGATTTAAAATTATTTAAAAAAATTATTTGGAATTTAATTTAAGGATAAACTTTAAAAGTTTCCTGAGAGGAAGCCTTCATTGGTCTTGTAAATTTAAGGCAGACGCACAAAAAACTTTAAAATTTTACTCTAAAACAATTTTCAAAATAAAGTTTTGAATCGTTACAAAAGGATTCGGACCTGAACAAAAAATATTATGATGTTCTGAAAAAATATTTCCATTTAAAATATTTGTTGAGTAATACATTTCAATTCACAAAATCCATGAGCTTTCATTCAATTATTTCGTCATAACTTGCCACAATTATCTACGTCTTGGATGCATATCAGCGGCTGATTTTTGCTTTAAACTTTGTAAATTTGTACTAATTAAACACCTATGACATATTCAAATTCTTATTAATTACTCGCTAGTGAGTAAATTAATTTTAACTCAAGGAAGTTGTATGCACTGATTTCATAATTATACAAAAGCTGCATGAATGGCGGTGATAAAAATCACAGTGTTTTTCTATACAGCACGATACAGTAGACACTGCAGTGATACGAGCAAACAGTGCATGCTTTGTTTGCGTCACTGGTGTTTCTAATAAGCTAAGATAAGGTCCGATAGAAATAATGAAATTGGAGTCGCCGCTGCACTCGTTTCCTGCTTGCACTGCAGACACGCGATGCATCGCAAATAACGCGACTTATTGGCCAACGCTGCGGATAAAAAAGTCGCACATACAAAACAAACAAACATTTAGGCGGAGCGAATTGATTCGCAGCGCCTTTCCAAATCGCGGTTCGAGAGAGTTGGACCTGAGAGAAAAAGAGTCACGCACTTGCTGCAGAGATTCATTTGCATGCACTTGGATGACCAACAAAGGCGCCGAATCTATTTTTGGAAAGCGTAAAAGCTACGTGATCTATTGAGTGGCGCACAAGGACGGAGACTGCCTGCGTTGTGACGGCGGACGCGTGTCCATGTCAACGGGTCGAAAAGCGGTATTATGAAAGTTTACAACCCCATTGTGGAAGTGACCTTTATTATGAATTATGACCCACTCAAAAAAATTTGCTTGGCCAAAACCATACTATAATTATAGAAAATACTAAAATGAGTATTCTTTGTTTGTTTTGTTATTACATGTTTCAAAAATTATTTCAAATTATATATTATATTTTTTTTCCTTAGTTGATATTTTTAAATATTTTTTTCAGTAATTTAATTCAATATTCTAAATAATTAAGTTGTAGCATTTAAAATTTTTGGCAATCTCTAAATGAAATTTATGATTTATGATAATTTTTAATTATTTAAAAAATTAAAACAAAGTTTTGCACAAAATCATTCTCTAAAATTTATATCTCGCTTTTTCCACAAACATTAAAACCCTTTGTTACAGCTGTAGTGTTTTTCTTTCAACAGAACGATTCAAAGTTGCACAATTCTCAACTGAAGACTTGTACCTTTTGTCATGTACTCGCGAGAGAGCAAAGACTTTGTTGGCCACGATATTGAAAATTCTCGGCGCCTCTGGCCATTACTCGACGACAAGCAGAGTAATTGCAAAAGCACACTCGCTCCTTTGTGCGCGAGGTTGCACACTCATTATGCGATTGCAGTGTGGAGAAAAACACACACATTTCGAGTGTGGCTTGCTGCTTTTCCCCGATTTATTCACTGGTTGCAGCAGCAAATGCATGCCGGTTGGAAAAACCGGTTCCTCGGGCCGGCTCCGCGGCTTGAAAAATTAACGGATGTTTTTGAAAAATGCAAACTAGTTTCACTTTCAGACACCACGTGATCATAGAACAGTGACAAGAGATATTGAAGTTTTATAATAGAATAGGTTGAAATAAAAATGGAAAATAAAAACTCATAACCACACCAATAAATTGTGAAAATTTAAAAGATTTAAAAGAAGGAGGAAGTAAGTGAACACAAAATTATATCAAATAATCTAATTATTTCCTCTTATATGCCCTAAATTAATTATTTTGCTTCAATGGAAATTATTAAATATTGTAAATTTGCAACTTTACAGTATTTTTTCCCTCTTGTTTATAATTGAATGAAGAAATATTTGAACTCTAAAACTGAAAATTTCTGAAAAAATTTCAACCCATTTTGTGCCTGCATATTCGCAATTTGAATTTTAAGACGACTTTTCCTCTTAACAGCTCTTTAGTGATTATTTTTACATAAGGGAAAAAAACAATATCCTGCTCCACATGATTTCATCTGCAGGCGGCAGCCATAATTCGTGAGTTATCTCGACTGGGGTCGCAGAAGATAAAGCAATAAACGGCTAAAAAACATCAAGGAAACCCCGACTTTAAATTCTAATGAGTCAACCCTCGATCTAGATTTTTTTACAGAGGTATTTTTTATGCAGCTGGGAGTTCGTTCCAGACTGATCCAGAATTTATCAATATAAAAGTGATCAACGACGGCGGAAAGAGCGGACAAAGAAATTTGATCTGAACAAGTAATTGTCCTATAAATACATTTCCGTCCTCCTTCTCTTTCATTAAAGTTGTTCATTAAAATTGTGTTCAACTCGAGTGAAACATCAAATTAAAAGCAGCCTCTCGCAGCAAAATGCAAATAATTGCCGGCCGAGCATTTTTCATCCCACGGCTCGTGCACAGCGACCACCTACACACGACAAAAGCACTCAATCCGAGTGTCATTTAATTTCGCGCTCGAGCTTTTTTCTTCCATTTCGCGGCTCCGAGAGTGCAATTAATGCAGTCCTCCCGCGATTGTTCAAAATTATTTCCGCGAGTTGCGGCACGTTGCTTAATTATGCATGTCTGCCGCTGGCTGGAGAATGAAAGTGCAAGATCCATCCACATGTATGTATTTCTCACAGCAACAGCAGACGCGATTCCGGTCTAATAAGCATCCAGGATTTTTCGTTTGGATCTTTTCTGCTTATATTTTGATCCAACGCTCTATTTTGAATTAATCGACGTCTGCCTCACTCAGTGTGTTTGTTTCCACCTCAAATTGAGCATGGTAGGCCAGGCAGTCAGTCACAAGGAGAAAACAAACCAACTCGGCCAATTTGGGATCATAACCGACGCGTTTTATTTACATAAATCATTTTTAATAACGTCACGCTCATTATTTTCTCCAGCTGTGCTTACACGCAGGGAGCAAAACTCGGAGATATGTTAAGTATGTGGAATAAAACGTGTACGAGTTTATTCTGATATCAGAGATTAAAACGTAATTTTACGGCTCGGAAGATTTCACACATAAAATTATTTGCTCAGCAATTAAGTTTTAATTTGTTTATTGTAGACATTCTTTTGCAGTTGTAAATTTCCGTTCTACTACCGCAGAAATGAACAAGAGGGAAGTTACAATTGAGTTGGGAAATTCCATTATTTTATCAGAGGCAAAAACCAGATTTTAACATTGATTAAAAAATATAATCTTAAAGTCTACACTTTATTTAATTTGTGGTTTCTTCTTTAATTCTCCGCTTAATTATAATCTAAAATCTAAAGAAAAATGCTCTTTGAATGAAAAACATTAATATTTAATATAGGCAACCTGCGTGACCTTAAGTGATTTGCATTCTTAAAGGCATTAATTATTGCGTCTTGGAGACTAATGAAGCATATCTTTAGAATTAACCAGTCAATTATGTATATATGTTGCTTGTAGACGTTCAAAATCATTAAAGAATCATGGCCCATGGACATTGAGGCTAATAAAACATTATTTTGAAATGAACTTCACACGAAATTATCGGAATATTTTTGAAAGAAAACTACTAAATATCAAGCTTTAAATGGAACTGTTAGAGTTTTTCATCAAAATTTAGCTTTGTCTAATTCCTTTTTTTTTCGAGTCATATTTAAATTTTGGGCAACAAATTAGTGAAATTGAAAAAAGTTAAATTCAATGAAAAAAATTCATTTGCACAGAAAAGAAAAAAAAATAACGGATTGGCCAAAAGGCTACTCCAAAACAAAATTTCTGGGATTTTTTCACTTTGATGAAGAAACGTGGTTCAATATTTTTTCTTCAAAATATGCAAACTGCTAAAAACTTGAGCGAAATTTTTTCACCTCTGAGAGTTTCGTCATTTTGATTCATACCAAGGTGCTTTTTGTTTTGCATCTCTGGTGCTATTTCAGGGTCTGTTATATTCGGCACTTTTACGCCCGTCGCCATACGTTGATGAATAAAACATAGAGGGCTGAGCAAACAAGCAAGCAAAAAATAATACCGTCCTTGCGCCAGCTCAAGGGTGGAAAGTAGAAAAGCGCTGCGGCTGCCGTTTGACCTTGCGCCCAGTTCAATAGAGGCTCGGCTAAAATAGGGCACGGGCTGACCTCCTTGCTTCTGCAGCTTTCAAGGTTAGAATTGCAGCGCGAATATCGAGCTGCTGCACCAATCGCTCTCTCCGGGGGAAATTTGCAGCGAGAGCAAAACTTGTCGGGGGCCAATAAAGCACCACTTGAAATTACACAATCCATTAGGCAAACGAGACGCCCGCGTCATAAATGCCACTCTTCGCCTTTTCACGGTTCGCCGGGTCGATCAATTAATCAGGCGTGAGGCGGAAATTGGAGCCAAATTGCCACCGTTCGATTTCGGTGCGAAATTAGTCTGACAATAAAGTGGGCCGAGAATTTGTTTGGAAACGTATCCAGCAGGTTTGCTCGTGATTTTTTGTAACGCGAGGAAAACAATAAACTTGTTGTTTCTTCACACCTTATTATTTCATTTGAGCAATTTACGCGGAGATGGGCCTTGAAATCGTGTGTGGATGAAAGCGAGAATGGTGTGCGAGCATACAAAAAATTTATTTATAGAGGTTATTACATGGTAAAAGTGATAGCGCACCTTAAATTTACTTTTTATTGCATTTTGTTTCGTCAAAACTTGGCAGTGACGGAAGCGTCTAATTAATAGTTTAAAAAGTTGTCAACTTTGTCTAAATATTTAATAAACAACGATAATTTTTTGAATCAATAAAAATTAATTTCTCCATTAAAATAAAAATGATTAAAAAATTTAATTTAGTGTATATTCAACTCTTTAAAGACAAGTTTCTTTTGCACAGTTTCAGTAAAACAATATAAAACCTCTTACAAATGAATTATTAGAAAATTATAAAAATCATATAATTTCCAAGTAGTAAATCAATTTTATCTTTTAATTTCTCATCAATTCCACATAATAGTGCTCAATTCCACCGTGAAACTGCAATCTATTCTGATTCTTTATATAAAATTGAATACGTAGAAAAGGTTTTCGGGTAAAATATTATTATATTTTGCTGCCTATTTTATTTTTTATTATATAACTTTTACAGAGCTCTTTAAACTTTAAATTAAGCTCTTATATAACTTTTAATTTCTGGAACATTATCTAGAAAATGATTTATTAAGATTTAACCCCTTGATAAATCTTATCACCGCGATGAATTCCAACTTCCTGAGGCAAAGCGGAAGTCCATGTTTGGCTCTGTCTGAAGATACATCAAAATAAAACACAAACCTTGTGTAAATCTTCACAAAATCAAAGCCTGAAAACCAGACCGCCGATTCAATAAACAAACATACCGACCCTCTCTATATATCTCACCCCTTTCAACACTCGCGTCTAAAATAATCTCAACCCCCCACGACGTGAATGAATTATTATTTTTCAAAATTAAATATTTTTATACCTTCGTCTGCTCGGTTGTTGGCTCCTGCTCGCTTGAGATCCGGTTGTCCGACTTGGCCACCTTTATCTTCTCGTCGACCGGGTTGTCCACGCTGGGCTCGGAGCTGCTCTTCTCGAGCTGTCCGATCAGCGTGGACACCACTTTGCGTTTGGCATTCGGCGTTGAGGGGTTGGACGAACCGCCCTTTTTGATTTGATTGTTGTCCTCGTCCGAATCAAACTTGGACAAAAAGTCTCGGACGCGTCCGACCACGGGCACGTGCTCGTTGTCCATGCTGAGTGGAGATTAGCCAAGTGCGTCCCGGGAGCAGCCAGCAACCACCGAGCTGCACCAGCTGGGGGAGGCCAATTCGTCGGCAACCCCTCTCACATCTGACGACCCCTCCGACGGAAAGAGGCTGCGCGTGCTTCACCCTGCTCCCTCCGGACTTCAGTCGGACGTCGGATGGGACGCTCAGATTTGCAGACCGGATTTCAAACGCGCTCGATTGGGCACCAGCTTGTTTTGCGTATCATCTGTTTGTCAAAAGTTCGCTCCGTTGTTGTCCGTGACCAAACCTAGGCCACGCCCCCGAAAGGAGATCTTTATCAACCCCCTGGAGGAACTGGAAAATTTGAATAATTTTCAGAAATATTTTAAATGTGATTAATTTAATTTGACCATTATTTAATACTTTATGTATTTATGATATTTTTTAAAGGATATATTCTAATATAAACTCCCTATCATTAAAATTAAATTAAGAAAAACCCTTTTTCAAGGTTCGTACAAGTCCTGCCATCTGTGTGCAAAACTCGCGAGTCTCGTTCTCCCTTCTCCCCTTCTACAGTCGTTCGCAGTCCGCTGGTTGCTCGTCGCCAATCTTTGTAAACACGTCCTTCAGGTCTGGTACGTCGTCGTTGTTCTTCTCGTTACGAGCACCATTTCGAGACGAGACTGCACAATCCGGCTACCTAAGCAGCATCCGCGGCCACCGAGCGACTAAGCAACGATGGCTGAAGGGTAATTTGTTTGACGCGAGAGCTCAAAATTTGTGGCAATTGAGCGCTCTTCGTTGTTGCGAACCAATTTTTTCACGCATCTCCCAAGGCTTTGGAGACACGTCGTTACCTGACCTAAAATTTATCGAGCCCAGATCAGACATGCGGTCGTAAACTGATCTAGATTAGTGCAAATGTTCGTGCTGTTTTTGCTCAGAATCGGAAAAACTCATTTTGTTTTGTCTGAGGTCTGAGAAGAGCGAAAACTGCGCAATATTTTTGTTGCTGGCCAACAGGAAGAGAGAGTTCATGGAACTTTACGATGCGTCCAGCTGATAGCGATGTTTTATTTTTTATTTCTCGAAAAACTAAATTTTCTTGCACAACGAAGAAGGCGCTTTTCTAATAAATCAATGGATATTAATTAGGATTACATAGCGTCATATGAACAGCCGTCACAGGTGTTTTCTTGATTTTCAGGCCAGGTGATCAGCAACCTGCGGGTTCTGGGCAGGACCAGGCCTCAGGAGGATGGTCATGGGGTTCTATTTTCCAAGCAGCACGAGATAAGGTAATGCAAATTCATACGAGTCTGTGTTTGTTTATATTTTGACAATTCAAGATTCAAGCTCCACTATCTGGAAAAAAATAATGTTGATAATAACATTACTAATGAATTCTTTGCAGAACCTCATAATTGTCTCAAAACTTCTAAAGAGATTTAATATAAAAATAAATTAAATATTAATAAAAATATTAAAATTAAAATCCATCAATTGATAATTTATTATGATCTATAAAATGGCCATGAAACCGCAAAAGGAAAATAATGGCATATAATATGTAACTGATATTTTTTTCTGGAATCATCTATTTATTTTATAACTTGTTATTTACTGCTGTAAATTATAAAGTGGGACTTCAAATGAAAAAAACGAGCAATTGCTTTTTCGTTCTAAGCAACACATAATATGAATCCTTGTTGCCTTAAATTTTTTATGAACAGTAATAGCATTAAAATTAACTCTAATTTGGCCATTTTCATCATCTTTTTATTTCATATTTCCAGTCGGCGGAAGTAATGGAATTTGTCAAGCGGGATTTGGATGAATTTTCCGTCGCAATGAGCAACCAAGCAAGCAACGTTGTTACTTCGACTGCCACCGTCCTTAAAGATAAGCTCAAGGTCTGAATTTTCCGCATCGTCCTCAGGTGCAGTTTGTAAATTGATAATGACTTTGCAGCTGGACGATGAAGAGTCGACAGCTGGCTCCATGAAAAAGAGCATATCTACTTTGCTGGGGCAGGTGAATGAAGTGCTCAACCCGCAGCCTGACGACGAGGACGAAGAGGCCATGGTCATCCAAGGCGACCAACCGGTTTCTCTTTCGCCCTTCCAAGTACGCATTTGATAATTTTTATCAGCCCTTTTGGACTTTTAATTTCTCAGAACTCGCCTGACTCATGTGTTGTAAAAGTTCTGCAATATTTATCTATTTCTATATTCACTTTTTGTAATTTTCATTTTTGTAGAAGAAGTTGGTTGATCTGGCTAACGACGGAACAACCTTCCTGATTGACCCTGCCGAAGACAAAATCCTTGCTCCTCAATTCCAAGCTTGGTTAGAATGCCAAGAGGAAAATTCCATGAACACCAACCGTCTCACTAGAATGCTGGCCTCCAACGCTCACCTGAAAGCCAATTACGAAAAACTTGTTCCCGATGAGGTACTTCTTGCCCTCAAAATTTCTGCCGAGTCAAAAATTTTATTGAATTTCCAGATTTCTCATCAGCAGTTCTGGCAAAGGTTTCTCTTCCAGAAGGCTTTGTTGGAAGATGAGGAAGCTCGGCAGCAAGCGAAACAAAAGAGGCTGGAGGAGGAAAAGCTAAAAGCTGAGGAAGAAGTTCAGAAATGTTAGTCAAGCTTCACTTTCATTAAGAATTTAAGTTACATTTTAACAATTTCAGCAGCTCTGAAACACGGCGTCAAGGTTGGCAGTAGTGTGCAGCTTTCCGAAGAGGAACAAATAAGGATTTTACAGGAATACGAAATGGAATGCGAGGCTGCGGCCAGAATTTCAGCCGATCTGCCAATGAAACCTGACCACTATTCTCCTCCTGGAAGAGACCATTTAAAACCCGCCGACATTAAAACCAGGGACAAACGTGACATGGTCATCGTTGGTGAGGGTCCTAGCAACAGTAGTAGTGGACAGACGTCTGTTGCGGACAAAGGTAAATGAAAATCTTCTTTGCACGAAAAATTCTCTGAAACGTTTAACTTTTCAATTAGAACTGTTGAATCACGATGGTAATTTTCATATTATTTAAAAATGACTAAAATAACTAATATTTATGGATTAAACTTATTTTCTCGCAAAAATAGAGAGCATTGATGGTGACTGGGAGAAAGAGTTTGACTTAGAAGATGTTGAAGACGAAGTTTCAGCAGGATGAAGAGTAGTTTTCCTGGACTCGTAATAGACTAAAAATATCAAGGGTACGGTTCCAAGAGAGTGAGTGAGTGACGTGGGATTTGCTAGTCAGCAGCAAGAATGGCATTTTTGTGTGACTGTTTGATTGAATTGAATCTTGATGCAATCGGATAAAAGCTAGCAAGCAAACAAGAAAGAACGAGCGTATTTTGGCAAACTTGTGATTCCAGAGTGGTTGTCCTCTTTATAGACGCTAAGTTTAACAGCATAACTTTTTATTTCTTAATGTTTAAGAAGCATTATCAGTGCTTGCCATTAGCGTAAAATGGCATATTGATTGAGCGTATGTACCTCTGGAAAGCAGCCTCCAATACATAGGCGTCGCTTGCAGGCATTTACTTGAAAATTTTAGGGCAGAGGTCAGATTGATTTTTCTTCGACATATGTATCACTGCACTTTTGGGTCTAATCCTGCTCGACGCATACATTTTATCTATTAAATTTGTTATTCTATGAGAATAAAAGAGATAATTTTGAATGTAACCTACATAATTGACTACTTTCATTTAAGAAATCAAATCAAAATTTTTTATTCAAATTGTATGACTGGCTTACTATTTAAAAAAAAAAAAAATTAAGAAATGACTACAACAAAGAAGCTAAAACAAGATTGCTTTATAAGAGAGGTGCGTTGTAATATAGGCTGCAATTATAAAATTAATTACTGGTAAAAATTGTTTTATTTAATTTAAAATTTCAGTTAAAATTCATCCGCACTTTAAAGACAACCGAAAGAGAAAGTACTGCAAGCATTCCTATGCTGCTTACATACAAACATGTGTGGGCAGTTCATTCTACAGAGGCGGGAAAGAGGGTTTCTGGGTCGCGCGATGGGGTGCGCAGGTCTGGAGATGGAGCGCGATTGATCCATCGCGGGAGGCTGCGAGAGTGAGTGTGGCGGCGAGAGACCCCGAGTGACTCAGCAGGGGCACCGTTGGAGTATGACCAAGTGCATCAACAGCAACGAGCCCCGCTGAGAAAAGCGCCCTGTGAAGATTGGCCCTCCGCCCTCGAAGAAGAAACCGCTCCTGAAAAGACTTACGCAGGAGGGAGCTAGAACAAGTTCTCTGACACAATGCCCGCGATTCCGGGTTTAAATATGTCGGCCATCGGTCCGGTGGTAGGCACCCTTTGGGAAACGGCCAAGTCCAAAATCCCAAGCAAGTGCAAGGAGATGGCCGGCGGGGGCGGCTCTCAAGCCGCCCCTAACGAGAACACCAATTTTGCTAAGTTTGGGGGCGGAGGGCCACAGCAGAAAGGCGCGGGGTCCCACGAGATGAGCGACTTCAACCGCGGAAGGGCAGCCAGCACGGCCAGCAGCGACGACTTCTGCGGGGGTGAATCCAGCCACAAAGGCCCTGATTTTAAGATCAACGAGTGGCAAGCCGCTTGGAACGTTACCAACGCCATCCAGGTTTGAAATAAATTATTCATTGGAAAATTATTGTAATAAAATTGATTTTATTTTCCTGCCAGCAAAACCGAAAATAAAACTAAAAAAAAAAATCAATAATTTGAAAAAACATTAATACATATACATAATAATTTAAACATGAAAGAATAAAATTTTTTTTTTTTTTATTTGATAAATCTAATTCAAAATGTTAAATATTATTTAGATTATTTGGGCTAAAATTTTATCTTATACTTTTACACCAAAATTAACATTCCGTCTTTTCAGAACTTCTTTTGTAAAGTGTCCCTATAAATCTTTGGCAATCAACTAATTGCCCATCTCGACTTCAAGTAGATTCTTGTGGGCGAGTAAAAGTTTCCGCTAAAAAGAGCAGCGTGTGATCGCCAGACATGGCATGAAATTTTATTGATCTGCTCCCGAACGGCTGGTGTGCGCGTATAGCATACACAGCCTCCCTTTTGTGGACCACTAACGAAAAGTGGCGCATTCGCGGCACATGTTGCTTCATCTTCTACAGCTAAAAAATCTGATAAACTTTCGTCACCTCAATTGGCAATTTCAGATAGAGGCCTTATTAACAATTTTCTTGCTCTATTAAAACAATAAACTGGGAGACCATCTTTTAAAAATAAAATTTAGTCAGTTAATATCAGTCTATGATGATAAATAATTAACCTTTTATTATAAATGACGAGTGAAATTTTTGTTCTGGTATTAAAATTTTTTGTATCACTTTTTGCACTCTTTAAAAGCCCTGATTCAACTTTTCCTCATCGATCGTTAGTATATCCTGAGGCTAAAAAGTTATTAACGCTCTTTTCTTTCGTATGCTGCAGGGCATGTTCATCGTGTCTCTCCCGTTCGCTGTGCGGCAGGGCGGCTACTGGGCCATTGCAGCCATGATCGGCATCGCTCACATTTGTTGTTACACCGGGAAAATCCTTGTTGATTGTCTCTACGAAGAAGTGGACGTGTACGAAGGCGAGGAGAATGGACCAGCACCACCAAGGCCACCACCTCCGACGCGTCCAGAAAACATTTCCTGGGAGGACGAAAGCAAATACCAATCGACAGACGTAAGCGCCTGCATTTGTTTGCTTATGCAACCCCTGTAACATGAAAAGCGCGCGGGTTGCATAACTTTACTCACAATATCTGTAATAACACCATATTTTGATTAACAAAAGAGGACAAATAAAGTTAACACAAAAAAATTATATATAAATTCTAAATCAAATAAAATTTGTACATTTTTTTTTTCATTTCAGTTCTGGGACCAGCCCGCCGGTTACCAACAACAGCAGGGTGTGACTTTTGAAGACGAGCAGTTCAAGTCGAACAATCCAAACAACCCTTTCTACCAAGCCATGGCCGAAGAGCAACAGCAGCAGCAGCCACCGCCGCAACCTGAACCTCTGGAAGGCGCGATTCAACCGGCGCTCCCTAACAACGGCGTCCCGAGGGGCCGACTTTTGGGCAAGCGAAAAGTTCGGGTGCGCGACAGCTATGTGGCCATCGCAAGGGACTGCCTTGGGCCCAAGTGGGGCAAGCGGATGGTTCACTGCGCCCAACTCATCGAACTTCTGATGACGTGCATCCTGTACGTGGTCGTCTGCGGAGATTTGATGGTGGGCACCTTTCCCGAGGGACCCATCGACACGCGCTCCTGGATGATGATTTGCGGCATCCTTCTGATCCCGCTGGCATTCCTCAAGAGTCTGCACGCGGTGTCCGTCTTGAGTTTCTGGTGCACCATGTCCCACTTGTTCATCAACGCCATTATTCTCGGTTACTGCCTCCTGGAACTGCCAGATTGGGGCTGGGGCAAGGTCAAGTGGACCCTCGACCTCGAGAAGTTTCCCATCTCCCTGGGAGTAATCGTGTTCAGCTACACTTCGCAGATCTTCTTGCCGACTCTTGAGGGCAGCATGCAGGACCCCTCCAAGTTCAGAACCATGCTCGACTGGAGCCACATCGCCGCCGCTATCTTCAAGTCGCTTTTCGGATACATGTGCTTCCTCACTTTCCAAGTAAATTTGTCGCAATTTAACTTTTTTTAATTAATTAATTATTGCTAATTTTTTAGAGTGACACACAACAAGTGATTACCAACAACTTGCACTCTGCCGGCTTCAAAGGCCTCGTCAATATCTTCCTCGTGGTTAAAGCCATTCTCTCATATCCACTGCCATTTTACGCTGCGTGCCAACTTCTGGAGAGAGCGATGTTCAGAGGCAAACCAAAAACTTACTTCCCTTCGGTCTGGGAGCTTGATGGAGAATTAAAGGTAAGTTTTAAAATTTACATTTCATATAATATAATAAGAGAGCAATTTAAAAATATTCTTTAATAAATATCGGAATATATTAAGTACTTTAGGGAGGGATATACAAAACTACTTATTTTTCAATTGAACTTAGTTTCATAATTATAACTTTAAATCTTTGTCTGTATTTGCATTAATTATCTATTTCAGGTATGGGGTCTTGCGTTCAGAGTAGGTGTCATCGTTGGCACAGTTCTGATGGCCATTTCCATCCCACACTTTGCAACTCTGATGGGCTTTATTGGCAGTTTCACGGGCACAATGCTGTCCTTCATTTGGCCGTGTTATTTCCACATAATTTTGAAGGGCCACGAATTGGACGATAAGACCAAATACTTTAACTACTTCATCATTTTCCTTGGATTTTTATTTGGAATCATCGGCATTTGGGATTCGGGGTCTGAACTGATCAGAGCCTTTTCCATAAATTTGCCTTTCTAAAAAGGCAAAGGAATCTTGCAAACAAGCATAGACGGCAACACTTTCTTGATACGGGCTTTATTAAATTATTTTGAGGTTCTATATCTTTGGAACTGTGATAGCTCGGAAATTTATTTCTGGATTTATAAGCCATGCATCAATATAATTACAAAAATTCAGTTTTATTGAAATCTCTCACAAAATGTGTAAAATTTTGAAAAAAAAAGAATGCGAATAGCCCATTTCGAGAAAGTCGCCTTTGTTATAATGGTTTTTAAATATATTATTGTGATTGAAAATATGAGTCTTCCGCTCTGTAAAAGCAATGCAACTTCGTCTTCCATGATGAGTGAAAATGAAAAATGTATGTCTTCCATATTATAGATTAAATCGGTTAATAGATGTGAAGTGTGAATTATACAAACAGTCATGCATTCTAGAGAAAAATACTATTCCAGCACTAGGGAAATGTAAATAATTTAAGAGAGTGGTGTATACAAGAAAACGATCGCCGTTACCGCAAAATATTGTTCGGAGTTCAATATAAATTGAAAAAAGCATACACATTATTATATAAGATTACTCATGTTGCTGTCAAATATTTTTCAATGTGCGCGTTTTCAGCTAAAGGTGATTGAATCCACAGTCTTCCAATGACACTCATAATATAATATAAATGATCGTTTTTCTTTCCACTCATAAATAAGAATGCAGGAGAAAATCCACAAACAACTTTTGTCGAGATAAAGATAAGCAGCAATAAAAGTCAGAGATCATTAACCTGTACACATAATACAAGACATGACGTCGTTAATATATAAAATTAAAATTTCACATTGCCTGTGCATAAATTGGCGCAAACGTTTTCGGATTTAATTTTTTTGTTTTAAATGAGCAATTATTTTGTTTTCAATACGATTTATCAATCAATAATTTACAAAATCTGACTGATGATAATAAAAATTTATGATTAATAAAAGAATTACTATAAATTTTATCAGCCCTTGGCGCGTAAGGGTTTTGATCAACAGATTGTTTGATGTCAACAAAACCGAATGAAACTATCAAAGTGAGAATTGCATGAGATCCTACTTGCTAAGGGATAATATATCATTTAATGAGAGCCTTGTTGTTGATTAGCAAAGAGTCTTCCAATAAGTGACACAGGACGTGTACGTGTCACTAGATTGATTTATTTATACTTGCAGTTAGTTGAGAATTACAAATGAATTATACAATAAACACACATAAAATTATATTAATGTTGTGCGACAGAAAAATGTTGTGAAATTACTACGATTATTATAAAATGTTAACAACCCAAAATTATACACTAAAAGAAGTAAAATAAAGATTGTAGTCGCAAATAATTCTAGGTTGCTTCATTTTCACGGAACGAGTCACAGCTCATTTTAGCACTTACTTCTTAAATTTACAGGAAAATGGAGACTTAAATGAGTTGCATTTAATTAGGAGATTTGGCAGTGTTCTTTAATAAGATTTAAATCAAAGGTTCCCAAGTAAAATTGTTTTGTTAGAACACATAAATTCGCCTTGCTGGCGTTAGATTTACTCTATTCTTGTTTTTCCAAAAAGTAGCTGATTTCTCCATAATGAGCACATTTATATCTCAAAATGAGATCGATCAGAATACTTCCAGCCACTGTCTGCGTGAATATTTTGAGATGGATTACAAAAATTCCACCCATATTTATGAAAAATTGGCACATAATTTATTAATTAATAGGAGTTGAATGCTCCTTAAAAATTATTAATACTTAATTTTTAATCAACGGCCGTCTATGGTGCGCTGAACGCTTTTGCGTGAATTTGTTTCTACGGCGTCTGAGTGGCGGGAAAGTGTTAGGAGTGAACATGCTGGTGGTTTGTGCCCATGCGGCCAACACGAAATCTTCAATTTCGCATTCATTTGTTCCACGCCGAATGCGGAAGAGGCCATCCTCACCCCATTCAGTGCCCCAAGAGTTCATTGCCAACTGAAAATTTAAAAAATAAATTAGATTTTCCTTGAATGTATAAACAGAATGAAACTTACCCAGTATTTTACAGGTGGGCCATTATACGACGGCTCCTCACCCCAACCAATAATTCGCACACTGTGGTATCCCTCTATCTTTAGATTAGGTCTCGACGCCTGATAAACACCTCTCTGGTACATGAAGAACTCGTGATGAACAGCCATTGTGGCTAAATTGACACAAAATTAAAATTAAAATTGTATGCATTCAATATAGTCTACCTTGGACGGGGCCGGATTCGAAAATTTCATGCATAATGTCTTGCTCAGATTTGATTCTATAAGCAGGACCGGTGCGATAAGTTTCCGTTCTTGGAGGCTCAATCTGGTGCTGCGGAAGGCACCTAGCGGCTCCGAGGGATCTGATGGTTTTGCCAATTTTGCACTTTCCAGGGTTGTTGTGGTCACCGATGTATGGGTAGCACCTCTCTTCAACAACACTTTAAAACAAAATTATGCTTTTTTTTTATTACAATTTTTCTTTTATAAATTACCCATATTTCCTTATGTGCATCCACGCTCTGTCCAAATGTCCGCCCTTGCAGCCCTGCTGGCCTCTTGTGTTGCATTCAAGCAGCTGCTGCGCTGACAATTCGACAATCTCCCTTCCAAGCGACATGATGCCCAGACGGTCGGCAGCCACCTGAATAGTGCTCAGGGCCCAGGAAGATGCGCACCAGCCCTGGTCCACAACCCCCGAGACTTCTTCTTGCCATTTCGTGCGGGCGTCAAAAGAGTGCGGCAGCCTTTTAGCGTCGTACACCCGTTTGACTGGGATCAGGCCTCTGACCTGTTAGCAATTTTTCTTAATCAGCGACAATCGAGGCCACTATGGCTTATTGCAATTTCCATCTGTCACTACAGTGATGCGAGGAATGTGAGAGAGGCGCGCGATAAATCTCTTTGATAAAGCTAATCGTGAGAAAATTTAGAGGAGTGTTAAATGCTGCAAAGGTCATGCGGCGACACGGAATGATTTAATTGCATTTTTCTGGCTCTAAAAATAAATAATAAGATTTATTTCATTGGCGATTGTTCAAGAGTTTAAGCCAAAAGCGAAAGAATAAATACTCTTTTCTGGCGCCAGAGACGACCTTATTTCCATATGAGAAGAAAATTAGTATTCATCGCCGCCGATTTGATGAATTCGCATGCGAGCTACTTAAGAAACAAAATAAAAAGTAGCAGACTGACCGTTCTGCGGGGCTCGAGGGTGCCGAGCTTGTACTGCTTGCCTTCGTGAAGGGCGCGGCCCCAGAAAGAAGAGTAGTTGGCGGCACTCCAGGTGAGGCCGCGTTGGCCGTTGACCCTGTCGATTGTGTCCGGCTCTACGAGACACTCGACTTGCTCGCACTGCATCTCCACCTTATTGGGCCCCGACAGCGTCTGCATACAGGTGCTTGAGATGGAAAAAGTGTAAAAATTGATTATGTCACCACGAGGGCTATTTAAATTAGAGGAAGTTACCAAGTTTTGCAGTTATCTTTAGCCGAATCCCGAGGAGCAAGTAAAATGCCGTTGAAGACACACACTGAATGGTAAATTTAAATTGTTTATTTTTTTAAGATTTAAAAATAAAAACTTACAACTTTTTCTAATAAAAAAAAAAAAAAAATGTAAAAAAAAATACCTTTTGTCGGTTCTTCGGGAGAAGATTGGATACCATGACAGAAGCTCCAGTAATCAGGGCAGCAATCGTCACTTGTTAACGTCCTGTTGCAAAAGTCGTCGCAGTAGCAAAGGGTACCGAGAATCGGAGCCGAGCACGAGTCTGCTCGGCCGTTGCAGCAGCCCACGGTCCTCTGGCCGCAATACGGTCCAGGCGGCAAGTCCGAAATGTCTCCTTGGTACGCGAGCACCGCCGCGCACACCAGGAGACACCCTACCCACAAACTGTGCCACCGCACTCCGCTCATCTCACCCCCTTGAAACAAAAGCAGAATTTAATAAATAAATTAATTTTAAATAAGGCTAAAATATGCATTTTTCTGATGGGATAAGTATTATGAGTTTGTTGAATGAAGTGCACATTGGATGAGTTACGACCGCATTAAAACTAATGTGCGAAGAAAGCAAACGCAAAAATAGCCAAGGAAATTTTAACAAGGATGTGTCTGTCTGAGAGGACGATCGAGTTAATGACTCTATATACGCCCGCTTCGCACGCTGTGCTAATTTATGCACGAGTGGCGAGTGACTTGTGTTTTGTCATTATAGAACCCCCGAGCAGCCCCTTCTGTGTGGTCTTTATTTGTATACTATGTGCGAGTCCGCCTTAATTACACGCTACAAGCTTGTAAACAAGTTCCAAGAACTATTCGATTGTTTTTGAAGTCGAAAAATTGGCGACAAAATTAGCCTTGAAAATAGAAATTTAATATTAAGTTCTATTGATTTTATATTATTTTGATCTCATTGCCAACTGAATTGAAGTAATGAACTGGAAAGTTAATTTCATAATTTGTTCTCCTTTTTTGGCAAGAAGGCTTAAAATTTGGAAACGCTGCTTTGAAATTCCGGTTTAGTCTGGGAATATTTTTTTTATAATAAAATCCTCTCCCAATTTAAACGATAAAATATAATTGACTGTATGACTTGAAAGAGGAGATACTCGAGCTTGGAAACTGAAATAATCATTTGAACTGCAAGTTGAAGAATAATCATTTCAAGCTATTTATAAATTTGCATTATCTAGAGAATGCAAAATACAGCTTAGGGCTTGTTTATGACAGAGTGCACTTTCGCAGCGCAAATTATCGGCAATTAACGACGCAGCCTTGGACTAGCAAGAACACATTCCTCCAGAGGGTGGGTTGGATATTGTGCTTCCATCATCAGTTTCATCCACAAATAATTTATATTTGTTGTTGCAGGCAAGGAATTTTCGCACGCATTTCTCCGCTTTCTTCACAAAGCAGTGCGCGAAGCCTTTGGCTCTGTCAAAACAAACTATGAGATGTGCGAGCGCGCGCCTCAAAATGCTCTGTTAAATGCATAATATAAACAGGACCGCGTGGGCCGCGCGAAAACGATAAAAAAAGGCTGCCGCGGAATGCCTGTGAGCTGATCTGCGCGGCTTTCGTACATAAGTGCAAAAGAGAAAAGAATCGCCAAAGAGCATGTTCTCTGAAGTGCACTTACACACTTGATATTTCTCCGAGATCGATATCACAGTTTCTCAAGAAGCAACCGCATCCACACGACTTCTTCTTTTTTTCACCAGTAGCGCCGGCGATGAATTTTCTTTCCTCCGCACAAAGTGTATATATTTTATAAAATAATATATTCCCGGAGCGAACATGTGCGAGATGTTTGTCGCCGAGTATGCCACTGAACTTTTATGCTTATGGTAATACACACGGCGCAGAGGCTGTGAGTTGCTGTCCGCCTCGCTGCATGAAAAATTACACTGAGGAAGCTCTCAGTCGAAAAATCTAACGAGTGGTTCAACAACTTTCATTTCGATCGGCGCGCAGGCTATTGCAAAAAGTGAAGTTGGCAATATTAAAACAACGGGTCAAACTTATTTCTCAAATTACAATGAGTGGGATAACCGGCGCTTTTGCAATTATACTGCCATAATTTATTAGACTAGGGTCAGGGTCAAATTCTTGAACTGTTAAAAGTTAAAAACACCCATCCCACATAGAAAAACAATAAATAAGAGAAATTACATTTTTTTAGAGTGTTTCGATATTTAATAAATTTTTTGTTGCATGAATGGAACTGCTGCGAGACGTAATGTGTCACCGCAGAAAGCTACTTGTGCCTTTGCCACAAATGCTCTGGCGCGAACGAACGCTGATTTTTTAGTCACGCTATGCGCGCCACTCAAACAAGAGTGTTTTTGTGTTGTTCCAATGTGTAAAAAGCATTACGCTAATCACTCGGTAATGACTGCTGTCGTCGGTTAAACGTACTTATTTTTTCATTACGTTAAGGTTGCGTGCTGAATTTTGTGTGGCATTATAACGCATTAATTAGCGGTTTTTTACAGGTTTGAAAGTGTGGTTTTCATTTGTAAACCTTTTCCGTTGGTTTTAGCTAACCGCTAACTAATAAAAATTTGAAAAGTAAATATAATTAATAATAAGTTTTAATTAATTAACCGTAATTAACAACATCCAGCGGTTGTAAAATAAAAAATAATTAATTATATGAGTTCATATAAAAAATCGTAAAAACGTTATACACCAAGTTAAATAATCCATACAATCAGTTGGATATTGGGTGACAAGTGGCGTGAAATCTTAAATATATATATCCATTAAAAAAATAGAAAATAGAATTGGACAAACTGATAAGAAAAATGAGTAAAAGTCAGTTATTCTTGAATATTAGATTTTCATTATTAGATATTCATAAATATTAGATAAACATGTATGATTTAATCTAATCTAATTCATAAATATGCATTCTGCTCTACACGCCGAAGGGAAAGTAAGAAAAAAAAATCACATTCGAACAGACAAAATGATGATATTAATTCATTTAAATTATTTTAACATGAAAACCACATTTTTTCATTATAAATTGTTAGAGAAAGTTTAAGAAATCAAAATTGCTTTAGATTTTCGTTTATTTTTATTTCTTAATGATCAAGGTCAAGTTTATTTAGATTAATATAATTTGCAAAAATAAAAATTTGTTAACGATTTATTACAATTGTTTAACACACTTTGCTCCACGGCAAACTCTAACAAATTGAGGGGGCTTTGAACTTGTTGTTAGTCACTCTCCTTTGTTTGCAGCATCCTGCCGGCAGAATTGGCAAGTACTGCGGTATATTGTCAAAACAATTTGAATGGGATTAGTCGTGCAGGTGAGCACATTACTCGCGTGAAATTGTTTCAAAAAGCAGTCAACGTTAAAAATATAAAAGCACCGGCGGCGTGTACGTGTTTCGCAAATAGCGCTACATTTAAGTGGCACCGAGAAAAGAATCTGCTGTTTTGCTTCTGCCTGGCTGCTTCGCTGGCCGCGCCATCAGCAAATGAGCAAAACGCTAATTGCATATCGGCGCGTAATTAAAATACCAAGAAGGCTCGAGTGCAGCACTCCTCATCAGCTGGCAACGAGCCATCGCTAATTTATGCGGTGCTGCTGGTGCGCGTATTGTCTAGATGAGGAGATATGAGATAATTCTGATTGTAGAAAAAGAACACGCATCATTGTTGAGAGATGTCTCGAGGCTGATGTCATCCCCCACCGAATTTATGATTTTATTGCTCGGCAAAGTATCCGTAAACTTGTGCACCAATAAATTTAATTTAAAATTCAGCCGGCGACCCTGGCCGCCCATTACTCGCTGGCCGTCGGGGCAATTTGAATTTTGGCCCGCCTACCGTCTCGATTGTTGTAACCTCGCACCCGCCGTGTGGTGCATCACAATGACACCTTGCTTGATTTGTAAAAGTGCCGACTGGCCAATTGAGTACAATTTTAAATTGTATAAATGCCTCGTTGTTACAAATTGTATTTGAAAAGAATTTCAATACATGATTTTTTCCTCAGGAAAAATAATATTTCATTTTTTTTATTTGTTATATTTTTATTTGGTTTTTATTTCTTCTTTATATAAATAAAAATGGAATAATCTGTTCTCACAGTTAATTTTATGACTTTTACGAGCTGTCGAGAGAAATGGTTGGTCGACTAGGAATTGCAAGTTTAGCGATTTGTAATAAATATCTAGCTGGTATTTGGGTATATAAAATGATATAGTAAAAAGCTCATTATTTTTTAGGATTAAGCAAATCTTGCGTGAGATATGCGCGGCCTTGTGAAAGAAAATAAAACTAAGTGCTATCTAAGCCATCAGTTTTGGAATAATAATTGCAGATCTACAAATCCAGATGGGAAACGAGGGATTTATCTAGATTGCAATGATCGCATCTATCTGAAAAATAAAATTCGCTAGGATTCTCACTCTCTAAAAGGAACTCATTGTTAACAAACGCTTTAAGTGATTTTATGGGCGTCGTAAAGGAGGATTAGGCGAACCTAGTTCCATTTGAAAATAAATCATTTTCTCGCTCGACCCGCGGCCAACGCTAATTTCCCATAAAAAACGGCAGTCACGTGCAGAGCGTGGTGCACCAAATAGAATAAAAGAATGAAAGATGAAGTCATTATTTTCATTCCATTCAACGCCATAACGAGAAGCAATTGTTCGCTACTACTTGTGTCTTGCCAACTTGGATGCAGTCCCCGCAAAAACCCTTCAAAACACACAAAAGCAGTTTCTAGACAAATATTTACAGGCACAGATTTTTCAATTTTATTTCTAGGACGAAGTTCTCTGAAGTTTTGTATGGCATTGAAATTTTAGCACGATCATGGAGTGTATTATTTGTCTTTCGTAACTCGCCTAACACCAAAAATTTTATCTGCTCAACAGGAGCGAAACTCATCCGCCAGCCATTGGAAATTGATAAGATAAAAAGCTCTTAAAGGCCGTCCTAGACACACAATCACTCGCTCTTTTTATAAGATCAAACTTAGATGACAAAACAATTTAATGGATCCTAGAGCCACGAGTGCCCTTTCTAGTAAAACAAGGTGTAAGGCACTTGAAATAAAAACGCGATGAGAGTCGGCCGGGGCGGAGATATTATTATAGGGCCAGATTAAAGTGCTTCAAGTATTGACACAACTCGCTCGCTCGGCATTATATGAGCAAACACGGCCGCGTTTTGTGTATTTACGAAAGTAGCTGTTTAAATCTCACCGGGGTGAGATAAGGCCAGTTATTTTGGCATGGAAGTGGTTACCCATACTCTCGGTGTCGTTGTTCTTCTGATGGAGCACGTGTGGACGATGAAAGCTTTATGATTTGACCTAGGCCGAATTAAATTCAAAATATTTTGAAAATCTGGTCCATGGGTGGATATATACGATTTAAGCCTTTCCTGGTCCGTGAGTAATTGAGCGTAATTAAGGGTTTGGGCTCGCACTAATTACTTACAATTAGACTTAAACGATAAGCACGATTGAGTGCTCAGCAAATAAAACGCTTAAGTGCTGGACCGACCAATTTTGTGTAATAATATCTCTCGCTCTCGACTTGAAAATTGATCGCTGTATTTTGTTTGCCGAACACCTGTCGTCAACTAGAGATGTATGGAGCAATTATTTTATTTTTAGAATGAAGCGCACAAAGTATGAGAAGTAAAAACTTTTATTTTATCTTTCCCTTCAAAAATCCTTGCAAGTAATGTTATGCAAAAATTATACAAAACACGGGAATTTAATTATTAATTAAGAAAATATCTGACAAAAAAAAATGTAAATCTGTGTGTAATTTATTTTTGTGACATGCAAATGATTTAAGAAGGCAGCCAACAATGTACATAAAACGTATAAGTAATTTTTCTTTACTTAGAAAAAAATCAAAAGAATCCTCTCACAAAATGTATAAAACCTGTTTGTGTAGTACGCGAGCAGTTATTGCAAAAACACAAAGCGCGTGTGTGCGCGCCGCAAATTGAGCTCGAATTCTGTTAAACACTTTTAAGGTGGCGGATGCTGCGGGCAAAAATGTGATTGACACATTTTGTTTGCTCAGTCTAGGTTTTTAATGCAGACAATGAGATGTGCAAATATTTGCGTCGCTTAGCTCGCCGATTTGTCGAGCCTCGACGCCAAAATGATTTAGTTGATCCACGAGTTTTGAAGTACATATTTTCCAGCGTCTGTCCAAACCTTTTTTGTGAGAAGACGATACTTTGTTTGCCATCTCCTCATAGGCGCCCATTGTATCAACAAACACTCCAAGCGAAATCCGCTGGGTTTTTTTACCTCCACAAATCGACGGCTGAGAATTGCTCACTCGTGGGATTTACTATATATAAATTTATTGAATTCAATTCAGCGCACTTACTTTTGCGGTCTCACCGCTTTTTTTCATTGAAAACTTTTCAGATATGATCTGACAGTTCAAGGTTGCGAGAGTCTTTCAATATTTATTCAAATGCCATTTGATAGGCTGCGCTGCTAAAAGGCCTGTTTGTTGAGCAAAACGCTGAATAATTGCGAGCCGAGTTTCTCCAGGGCAGCAGCTGCGCGATTTTGAATGCGTTCAGATTTGATTGGAGCTAATTGACAACATATTGGAAGCGGATGCTCTTTCTTTTATTGCTGTTAACCCTTTGGGCACAATCACCTCCAAAGTTTCGGCATCTTTTTGACCATCTACAGAAACTAATCTCCTTTTATAATCAACTAATAAAACCGCGTAGGCGTCAACGAAGTGATTTCAAAATGAGAAGAAAAAAATAGGACTCGTGCATATATTAAGATAAAGCGCGGTCCTATATACCAGGTGATCTTGTCTTCAACTCTTCGCCTTTAGCTGTTGCCAATTCCCAAATTACTGCCTCCGGTTCCGAGAATCCCTCTCGGCCCCAGAAACGTCAGCAAATCAAATAGATTCCGATCGGGTTAAATTAAAACCCGTGCGTGCAAGCGGCGCCAGTATAAAGAGCTGATCAATTGGAAGCAAGAAACTGACGCATCAATCAATGTGCCAACCGACATTCTTGGCCAAGAGACCAAGTTTGAATGAGACACTAATAATATGAGATAGTACGTTGCCGATAAAAATGGTGACAGATTCCAATTGACAATTAATTAATCGAATTTCTGCTAAAAATTTCCCCGGCATTTCACTTCTTGCTTAGTGGCTCGTCGCGTATTTTTAGGTTTCAAGAGCTTAATTTTAGTTAGAAATTTGGCACTTTGGCGTGAAGGTCTTTCAAGTAGGCCTCTCATTGTCGTCAATTCACTCTCAAGAGAGGGAAAGAGAAAATTAAAGCGGTGTGAAAATAACTCGAATGTAAATGCTGGTGTTTTGATCTGCGGTTTGCCGCGAGCAACAAGTAAAAATAATGAAAAAATAAAATGTATATGTATCGTCAGTGTGAGTCACTAGATGTCTAGTATTACTTTTGATGACAAGAGAACACACCACGTACCTGGTGCTGTTGCGGACCGAAGAAACCGCGATCTCCTCTCGTTCTCTCGATCGCTACCTCGGCACTCACTCGCGAGCACCGAGACGCGTGGCGCTCGCTGCTGCACTGACTGAGGACAAAGTTGGTTGTCTTCTCCGCCGCGGCACCCCTCCATCAACGCCCCTGCGAGAGGTGCGTTCTATCACGTGTGAAAGAAAATAATGCAATCGCGCCTCGTCGGCCTTTCGTGTCACCCACTCTCACTGATAGATATAAAATGTTTAATTATTTATTTTTACTTGTTTATATTTACAGAGCTGATGTCAGTTTGAGATTTTTAATTAGATCCTAACAATGCTCTTCTTGTTCTTGAAGCACACGGGAATTTTGCTCTCTCGCTCGCATTTTGCTGTCGATTTTGTTTACGTTGGGATGTGCAGGCATGCATTTGGTACATGCAAAGTACAATGCAAGAATTCCTGCGGGGAATTTATTGAGAACGTTTTGAGCTTGAACTGAATACCAATTTTCCATTTACGGGTTTGAATTTAAATATTAAAATATATAAAGATAAATTTGAGACAAACTTGAAAAAAAAAATGATTTTCATAATTTTTTCGCATGGAATAATCCGTTTTTATGGAGGGCACAATTAAGGTAATGTGATGATTGACAAAGTAATTTAAAAAATCAGACTTCTATAATTTTTCCCTTTATTAATTATTTTGTTAAAAAATTTATATATAGCTTTCCTAGTGGTTTTTCTCATAAATTTAAATTTTATGAGGAAAATGTCATATACCTCCTCAAATATTCTCTTATCAGTCTTTTAAGTGTGTTGATGTCGAAATGTAAAGTTCATTGTTCCTATTTCGCTACCCTTTCATAAATCTCCAAGAAGGGGAAACTCCCTTTTTGAACGTAAAATTAAATTAGCATGCCTAAGTGCTGCATGCAAATGAATCAGGTCTGAGTCGCGAAAACGTTTTAAGTGCACATACACACAAAGCATAAAAACGTTGGCCAGCCCGCAGACACAATACCTAAAAAAGGCGCACATAGAACGCGCGCGCCGTAAGTAATTGCTCAGGTGTATTGTGCCGTGCATTCCTCTCTCTCGGACCAAAGAGGAGTGATCCACTTGGTGTGTGCTTTTAGACTTTGGCCAGAAGGCAATAAACGATAAAGCAAGCATTGAGAAAGAAATTCAATATTCGATCAGAGATACGAATAAAAGAACAAAAACCCAGGAGCGGCCCACGCTCTCGCTTCTCTCCGCGTGTCACTCCTCTGTAATCCAAACGTGAAATCGCCTCCGAGCTCCGATGGTCAATTAAATTAAAACCGTATATGTGCCGACTGGAAATAGATTATCCCCCGAGTCTATCAGCGGCGCCACCGAGTGGATAAAATTAATGAATAAACGCCGCGATGCATTAATTCGAAAAGGTGCAACGTGCATGCAAAGAGTTGAGAGCTCGCTGGTTTAATACATTATTTCAACCCACAGCGATTCCACGTCGGCGTGAGTGCACCATGACTTCTTTTCTTACGTCATCTCTCTTGGCTGCTGCCTCTGGAACGAGAAGAAGTTTTGCATCTCTCGTCCGCCCTCGTGAATCATAAAATAAATCGGCCTTTGTCTCACCCAGAAAAAAACTATAAACCTAAGCCGCGCCGAAAAGAGACTTTGTCGCGCAATTTTGCAACAAAATCTGCATGCGCCTACGCATTTCCGCGCCTAAAAGGAATGTTTTAATTTGGTCCGGCGGCAGCTATAATTGATAATTTAAATATGGGCTCTATAGGCTGCACAAAATGCAAATTAGTTTGGGCGGTTGGCTGTGCAAGGTCTTCGGTGTGGTCGATTTGCAAGAATTTCACGCAAAAATTTCGTCGCTATAAAGACGCAAAATAACTTTATCAAGGTCATTACTATAAATTTTCCTGAAAAAATGTTTTAGTAAATTTAATGTAATTTTTATGAGGTCAAGCTATTAATAAATATTAATTATATTTTTAACTAATTAATTCAATTAATTTATTTTATTCCAAACAAGTCAAGATTGGATTGATTGATCTGAAAATTTGTTTTTAATATATTACGAAGTTATAATCATTTATTTAATTAAATTTGTTCATACAGATTATTGTCAAACAGTAAAAAGCGTAAAAATTAAGTTATAATTTTGGGGGGAAAAATATTAAATTTCAGTCTATAAATATCCAGATATGTAGAGAGAATGAATCAAAATTGTTTGGGTTAATTTTTACATTAAAATATCGTGAATCGTTCTCCGCCACTCAAGATTTATTATTAAAATTGCAATTATATGTTTTCATATTTTCTTTTGCCGAGCCCAAGTCTCATTGAGTCAATGCTAGGCAGAGCAATAATCAATTACCTGGCAAAGTATACTTACATTATTTTTCTCTCCTGACGATCAATTCTCGCGACGTGACTCACGTTTTCCATTGCTTTATAATTCATCTTCTCTTATATACGTGTGATTAAAAATTGTAAGCAACATTTTTTACTAAGTAGAAACTTGTAGTGTCAAATTTAATATCACCTGACACTCACTTTCCGCCTCTGTCGCGTCGACCGAAAGCTCCACTTAACGATCACAGCCATACCTCTTATGGTAATTCGCACTTCTTGACGGGCTAAATTATACGCAGATTTTTCACCACCCCGCGCTCGCGAGAATCTCGCAGCGGCGGCGTCGGTGTTAATGACAAAACCGTGCTGCTTGCAATTCTACTCGCGACCAGATGAGATAGAGGCTCATGTGCGAAACACTCATGTACTCACAGACAGACGCGTTCATATTTAATCACATTACAAGGCAGCAGTCATTGACCGACTTGAATTCAACCTTTTGGTATCGCTCTCACTATATACAAAGGTGACGTGCACCGCGACTGCCAACGCGTAAACGAAAAACTTCTTGTGTAACGAGTCATTTGCATCTCTCCAGATTCGCTTTTTGCCAAGGTGTAATTACAACGCCTCTTAATTGCTGAGGAATTATTTTTAAGACGGGTTTGTATTTTTTTTAGCAGACAAGTGTATAATGTGTGAATAACAAAAACGAATTTTGTCTGTCTGCTTGCTGAGCTGAAGTTTTCATTTTAGAATTCTGGCACATTTTTTGCAAGAAATGTGAGCTTTGACCTTACGAGCAACAAGTCAGCATTATTGTTTTAATTTTTCTTAAGCTGACGAATTATTATTTCATTTTCCTTGTTCAAACGTCGTTGTAGAATATTAGGCTGCAAAGGTTTAAAATTTCGTCCTTGCGTGTTGAAAATATTCACATTTCTCGAGAGATGGGTAATAATTTACCTGGTTGATTTCTCTTTGACTTAAGATCACTTTATTATCAATAATTCATAGCGGTTTATTGCTGGTTTAAGTGCCGCAGCAAGTTGATGCATTACTCTTATGGTTTGTTCATCTAATTTAATGTGGCAGCTTTTGCGCAATTTGCATTTTTAGACTAATGAGCAACCGTTGCTATTTATAAAAGAAGGAGTGATTCAGCCTGAGACAATTTTAAGAATTAAAATAAAATTTAAATAAAGATTAAACTCAGCAAATGCAAAGAAAGGAGTAAGGACCATTAAAATACAAAGCTATTATCTTAATATGTAATGTAAAAATGGATACATTTTTCAATTAAATTTCAAAGTGACTATAAAATTTTATATCGTTCAATAAACATAAGAAAATTCCGTTAAAAAAAACTATTTCAAATGTAAAATAAAATTAGAAATATGATAAATTGAAGTTAATAATTAATTTAAATTTATTTTTCATGTCATTATGTCCTTTAAAATTTCCTCTTTCTCAAGCCTCAGAGATTTGCGATTATGTAAATGTACTTTTATTTGCCACTAAAAGTGCGCACATCGATAATTTTAAAAAGAAAAACTCGTCTTTAAAGTAATAACCTTTGTGACGTGTTGAGTGGTGCGGTGAAAAAATGCGCCGCGTGAGTTGTGCGAAAAATAAATCAGCGAGCGCTCAGCGTATAAATTGAGGAGTGACTTCAGCACCGGGGTATGTAATTGTCATTTTTTCGCGCGCAAGAATAAGTTCCGCGACTTTATTACCACACGTATAGAGAGCATGCGTAAGAGTAAATAAATGCGCGAGAGATAACGCAAAAATAACACAAGTGAAATGAGTCAGAAGAGACGGACCGCATTGCTAACTAAAGAGTAGCAAGATTTGTGCAGCCTTTGATTATTTGCATAATGCTCGAGCGCGTTTCCATCCGAGCAAAAACACATTTCGCGCTTCATTCCGTATCGCGGGGCAGCATCGCGCAGCGAGAGACGAGAGCGACTGCACAAAAAGTCGCGGGGACCACACACGGGGGACACATTTTTGATGCGCAAGCAAAAGCACCAAGTGTGCCCCATCATTCACCGAATCAATGTCTGAAGATGGAAAATGATGGCCAGCGGCACTAAAAAACGCATAAATACGTGGGTAAAGATCATGTGCCATAAATAAATCGCTGAATAATGCAACAAATAATGTGTGTTTATGGAGAAAAACCGAGCCTGCATTGTCCACATGAATCACTTATCCTTCCAGTTATGAATATTAAATGGGAAATCCACGCCTTACTTGGCTCAAGACTAATTCGTCCTTTGTACGCGAGTGTGTTTTCAAACTCTAGGATTATATTTGTTAAAAAAAAAACTACAAAAATATTCATAATTTTTCCAAACATTTCGATCATAAAAGCATTAGGAATATTTTGCTGAAGTCGTTTTTATTACAAAAATTCATGTGATTACTTAATTTCGGCTAAATTTTGACTTTTAGGCGTGGATAAAATGTAGCCTGAATTGTGGCAAAACTTATGTGATTTTTTATATAATTCCCTTATCTATCCTGAGCAAAGAGGTAGAATTAAAAAAGTTCAAAATTATATCTATTTAGCTTAGTAATAATTAATTAATCATTAAACATAAATATAAAATTTTAATACTATGTTTTTAGGTGCGTTGATCACTCTTGGTAGCACATAAATTACAAAGAGTATAGCATATTGATCGTTTGAAAAAAAAAACAGAAATTGAGGAAATTCATTATTTAATTTCTTAGAAAAAAAATTATATTTAAATACAAAGCAAATTCCATTCTGCAGATTTTGAGAAACCACTAATATCAATAAATAATTCATGGTAATTGTCAATAGAAAAATTATTTTACTTTCCAGACAAAAACGAAGGACATTTGAAATGTGGGTCCCCGCTTGACGCACGACATAGAGTGAATTAGGTGCAAAATTACAAGAGGCGAGCCAATTGAGAAAAACAAATTAAAGGCAATTAAACTTAGAAATATATTTCCAGTAATTACGGCATGTAAAACAATCTTTCCAAACATGAGACTGCGAGAAGGGCCAAACAAAATTTAATTGATTTACAGCCCCCTCGGAGTTCAACATGGCCCCTTGCATGCATGATATATTATGTGAGAAAAATAAACAAGGTTGATTGAAAGTGAAGAAGCAATGGTAAAAGTTTGCTGCTGCTCTCTGAGTCGTTCTTCCTGTTGTTGGTTGGAAGTCATAATTAATTAACGCCCGCGACGGAGGCGAGCGGGCGCGCTTGATGAGCGGCAATAAAAGCAGCAGCAAGAGGCCAATTTGGACTCCGAGTCCAAAAGATCGAAGCAATGAGACTTGATTCTTGCTGGCTCACAATAGCCACTAGTCGGGCTATTTTCTGATCTCTAGCGTGCGTTTCAATGGAGACGGCTATCGCCGCGCTTTGTTGTTAGCCTATTTCTCGGTACTTACATCATTCTATTTTTGGCCGTTTTGTCTTTGAGAATACGACTGCGTCATTTTCTCACTCATCCAAATTTTTGGAACTGTTATCTGATCTTGAATCTCCAATGGCGTTGTAGACGAGGAGAGTCTCAGAAATGATTTAGCATTGAGAATTACGCTAGTTTTACGATCAATTATCTTTGAGAATACATAATTAAATTATAGATGAACAAAATAAATTGTACTAAATTTTAATAAAAACACCCTTAAATTTAATAAAGGGAGATTTCTGTTTCTGTTTTCTTTAATTTTTAGTCGCATTTTGATGCGTTTGTTTTGAGTTAGTTTATCAGGTAGATTAAATACATATTGTAAAAAAAAAAATATTAATAATAATGACGAAGAAAACCAAAATTATTTTGTTTTCCTTTCATTGATTTGATTTTTCTTATTTAAAAACAAAAATTTACAAATTTATTTTTTTAGCTGATATTGGTAAATTTAATTTACTTAAAAATTTTAACTTGAAATTAATTAATTATAATAAGATAAATATTAACAAAAGTATTAAAAAAATAGCTGTGCTAGAAATTTTATTTTTGTTTCTACACATTAATAATCCTGGTGTTATTTTTTAATCTAATACAGCGATAAAAATAATTCATATCCTAGAATTAATATTATTATATTCTTTTTGTTTTTTAAATTTTAAAAAATATGGTATGACAGTTAATCTTGAACATTTTCGATGCAAACAGAATAATAAAGAAAATCTTTAAAAATAACATCTTAATTAAACGTTTAAATTAAAATACAGCAAATTCTCGTAATTATTTAAATCTTTTCTTGCCTTTGGGCACTTGTCTTGCTAAACAAGGTGTTGTTCTTTTCTGCTTCTGATCTGACACTACCACTCTTTATCTGCACTCTTTTCATTAGGTTAGGCGAATAAATTATGCAGATGTTCTGGAGTAGTTGCGGACTGCTGCTGCTTTGTGAAGATATTTTTGTTGCGGCGGCGAGTTCATCTTTTTTTATTCAACTCCACTACTTGATCTCTTTGTGTCAGAAAGGAATAAATTACAGCTGCCGGCCAAGAACGCGGCACCTAGAAACGCCAAATATGCATGCGAGAGAACGCGGCCCACTCCTCCCAAAAGAAGAGCCAACAGGCTTTTTTTTATGATAATCCGCACAAACCAGTGTGATTACTTAATTTCAGTGAAATATGGTTTCTCGGTCTGACACGCAGCACTAAATATTACATTTCATGGAGCACAGTCTGGCTTTATTTTGACCATTTGGGAATTTACATTATTCATGTTCCTGTAATAATGATGAGGCGCCGTAATATTTCATGCAAATGCTGGTTCTTTTGAGTGGTCAATGCTTGAATCGTTACTTTTGACGTACATTCGTAAATAACCTACATTACGGCAGAATTATAGCAGCCAATAACAATAAAAGTTAATTTAAAAACTTGAATTTTGGCAAAAAATAATTGCTTTTGGCAAGACTTTAATTTTGCAAAAACCTGACTCGAGTGAATAATTATTCATTAATCTTCTCCGCCCTAAAAGCAACGCTTTTGAGTTGTTACGAGTCATCTAAAATTCTCAGGTCTTGTCAAAGCAGCTTGATCAACCAATTCTCCAACTCGCATAAAGGACAGAGATAATAGAAATGATCCGAGAAAGAACAAGGCAACAATAAACGAGAATTTAATTGAGCCTAACTTTGATTAATAGATCAGAATCGGTTAATTCCTTCGAACAGACCCACATATTAAAGACAGATCTTTTATGGCGCCAATCTTCGGCACTTCTTCTTTGGTTTGCCCGAATAAATAAACAAATCAAGCCCTGACCCTGTACACTTTTTATTCAGCGCGCGCCGAATTTATGATGCAACTGCCGGTGCTCGCGCAGACAAGGACCACAGAGTGAGCAAGACTCTGAAAATAATGAGGCTGTAAAAATGTTGCAGTGACGCATTCACCGCGCTCGGCTCTAACTGGTCCTTAACTATTTCACTGGCCATATATCATTGCAAACACACAGCTTGCATTGTTATTATTATTGCCGTCGTTGTTTTGTGCACTCCTACCAGTGTCCAGAAACAATTGCGGCAATGTGGTTTAAATTGATTGGACTCGGGAGTTTACGTCGCATTCAATTGGCGAGACCAAAGTTAAACGTCTAATGCGGTTTATTTTAATGATCGTGAAAATCGTTCCGCAACCACCTCTGCTGAACAACTTAAAACAGACTGTCTGAATTTAGCATAAATAAAATTTGAGCAATTTCATTTCATGAGCGTTATATATTTGCTATCTAAAATATTTATACATTTCAACAAAAAACATTTCCCTTAACCAGTTATAACAAGACCATTATATCAACCAGTCGAATTAAATAAATTACGACTTAAATTAGGAAAGAGAATAATTATGATCTACCTATTATATCATTTGGGGATGCAGTTAGTGAGATTGAGCGATCTCGGAGAAGAACAGAAGAATGTCTTGAATGGTGAACTCAAGGGTGATCATTGCATTGGGGTAGCACCTGTGGATCAGTTCCTCGATAGTTTTATACTGCTGAATGAACTCTTCCTGCATGGCTCGCCAGACGACCTTGTGTCAAAATCGATAGTAGGTTAAGAGTATTTTTTATCATGAATTTGATTCCTACCTGAAGAAGATTTTCTTCTTCACTCAAATGCTTCTCAACTTTTTTGTAAAGGGAATCCAGTCCCTTTTTGACTTCGCGGGCTGGATATTCCTTTATGACTTTTCGAAGCTCCTGCTTGCTGAAGGCCATTTGGTAGCTGACCTCACTTTCCTTAACACCCTGAGCTACTTTTGCTTGCACACCCTCAAAGAAGAGCTGAAATTTGTGAAGTAATTAGCGTAAATTAAATTTTTATTTCTTGGGCTTACATTGAGCTTTTCGAGGGGACGACCAAAGTAAAGAGTAACATAAGCTTTGAGAGCGTCTTGGTACCGCTGCTTTGCTTCCTTTTTGTAAGATTCCAGAGCAGCAATTTTAAGTCTTGATAACAAGCCCTGAAGTCTATGGAAATTTTCTGAAATAAAAAAAATAGCTTGTTTTCCAGTTATTTCTAATGAATTTTGTGCAAAACCGACCCATTTTCACAACTTGTTGCGGAGTCTTTTGGTGCTCAACGCCAATGCGAGGAATTGCTTCAAACATAGCAATCATCAGATTTCTGTACCACTTTTCCAAATCTGTTCTTCTCTCTGAGCTCTGGAATATTTTCTCTGCAATTTTTGCAAAATCCTGAAAAAATTAAAGGTTATAAAATCCATACCAAGAACAGTAAGAACTCAAAATTTTATTTCTTTTACCTCAAAATTATCCACAAACGGCAGAATTCCACATTTGCTTGATCTATTGGCCTTTGTATCCTCGATCGATTTTCTTTGAGCAGTCATAAATTTATCAAAATTTCGTTTCACTTGGACAAGAAGAGTGGCAAAAGTAACACTAAGGAAATTGCCAGTGTCTTGAGCAAGCATCACATGTTGGCTCAGCCTAACAAGCACGTTCATACAGCAGCTAAAATTTGCTCATTAGAAAATTTGATTCAAAGACTTCTATTTCACACTTACAAACTATCAATTTTCTCATTGTAAGAAATAAATGCCATGAGCTCTGGTTCCAGACTTCCGAACAGTTCTCCCATCATCCTTCTCACTTCTTCGGTGACATATTTTTCCATTTTCCTCTCAGCTTCTTCCTTGCTTGGCGTCGCAATAGCATTGCCCGGGCTTTGCATGGAAAAGCTACTCAATGTCGATTGCGTGTTCTGCAAAAGAAAATGGCAAATATTTTGAATGAGGATTATAATTATTAATTCATTCAAAAGTACCGATCTTGTTGGTGAGACCATATCGAGCTGGAAGAACAGCATGCAGAATTTCTGTTCAGCCAAGAACATTGGCTCCAACTGAGTCAGGGCCCTCTCCAGCAGCTCATCAAATTTTTCCCTGTCTGCAGTGTCGTCCGCAGCTTTCCATTGCTCTCGTTCCTGAGCCAAGAGTCGTTGGTTAACAGGCGAGTTCTGCCCTTCTTTGGGTGTCTGACCAGAGCTGCTTATGTCCTGGCTGCTGCCTTTGCCTCTCTTCAGAGTGCCAGCGTTCAGCCTGTTCTTGGCTTCTTCGAAGAACTGGCGGATCACAGATTCATAACGCTTCTGCAAGGAGTTGATGTAAACTTTAGACAGGTCGGTGAATGCTTTTCGGTCCATTTGGCGCAACCAGTGCATCAGAGGCGCATACGGCTTGAGGTTGTTGTGGACAGTGTCCAGCGTCGGCAGAACTAGTCGAGATTCATGGTGATAGCCATCCATCGACATGAACTCTTTGTTTCCCTATAATATAATGTATATTTTTGAGCACAATTGAAGGAAAAGTTGATTATTTTTTTTCTTTTCACCTCATGAATAAATAGGTTGTTGAGGTAACGACAAATGCTCTGAGAAAACTTGATCCTCCACTTGTCGAATCGCTTCTTTTGCTCCTGAACTGCGGCCAAATTGACCAAAGCAGGATGCAAGTCAGCATTCATAGCTTTGATGAGAGCATTGCCTGCTTCGATGGCCTCTTTCAACCCGTTTGGTGAGTTCAGGTCAGCCTCGATCAGGGCCATCTGAAGTTTGTATGGGACATCTAGCTGGGACTGAACAAAATAATATATACAAATATGAAGCATGAATTAAAAAAATCAGGCTTACGACAATGTTTTCCAACTCTTCGAGCAGGACTTGATTGTTTTTCCCAATGACCTGGTTGGTGGTATTTTTCTTTCCCATGTTGACAATTGACTTTTGAATGTGTTGAATTGAATCACAGTATACGTTGAGCTGGGACTCGATTTTGTCTGCTTCACTTATTGCATTTTCCAGGTGAGACATGAGAGCCTCTACTTGCTGCTCGGCAGCTAGCACACTGTGAATGTTCTCCTGAAAAGTTGGTTTCAATAAATTTTCTGCAAATAAAACAACATCAGTTTACTCCGTCTAAAATTGACAAGTCTCTGGCCAAAGTTTCCATGAACGCTGCAGAATTACTGTATGCATAATCACACTGGCTCATGAGTTTTTCCAAGTCAGTGATTTCCCTCTCAGTCAGTGGCATGTACTCGGGGGTCTCGTCCACAATCACAGTGCTCACTGTAACTTCTGCAGATTCCTGTGCAGGCGTTGCTTCCGACTGCCATTCTTCAGGGAAGTTGAGGAACGCTGGTCTCTGCTTTGGAAGATATTTGTTGCTCATCTAAATTAAGGAAATAAATTAATGCATAGTGCAATTTTAGGTAAATTAAATAATTCACCTTCCACAAGAAAATCAAAAAATTTTGACGCTCATTTTGGTTTGTCGCACTCCAGTGGTACAGCTTGTCAAATTGCAGGTCAAAATCTTGGTGGTCCTGCTTGAAAGAAAAAAACATTTTTTTTATGATTTTGAACGAGACTAAAATTTGCTATAAATAAACAATATGATTTTCAAAGACGGTATATATTTATTATTTTCTGCCGAGAACAACATAACTTACGCCAGAAGCATTTTTTGCATCCACGAGCTTGAGATCCGACAATTCCCATACTTCCTTTTTCTTGAATGCGCTTCGGTCAGTTTGCTTCACCTTATAACAAATAAAATAAAAATTTAGATAATCTTAAAATATTTTAAATAGAAACTACAGTGCAAATAAATAATCTTTATTTGTATTAATTTACTTTTTTAATAAAATGTTTTTGTCTGAAAATATGAACTAATCTTGAAAAATTCATGTTTTTTTTATTATTATTTTAAAAGTTGATACGAAGTCGTCAAGATAGGAAAAATTAAAAAGCTTTTCTTTCACAATAGCTCGCACGTAAAGTCAGAGGCAAAACTTTTAAGTATTGGCGCCTCACAACCGTTCTCCTATTGGTCCGGAGTCACGCGCACCTCCCGAACCCCGTCCGACTGTTTTGTGGAGATAAATCGATCAGCCTCACTTTCAGCGGCTGAATTGGCGATTTCGGCCAAAATTCGCCACAATTTGACGCATTAGGCAGCAGAAATGTATTCCACACTGCGATCAACCGTTGCTTATGTCTTCTTCGGCACACTGTCGGCAGCATTGACGATAATAAGTGAGTTTTTCGCACGGTCTGACATACCGTATGGTCACGTCTGGTCATTTTCGGTGCGAAATTCCAACGCCAAGCTACATTTTCCCCAAATTTATTCGTCTGAAAACATTTTTGCCAGCCAGAACTAGCGTTGTATCGCACAAACTCAATCTTAAACGTCATAAATCATTTTTACAAAAATAATTTAAAACTTGATTGTACATATTTATGGGCGTAACCTCTTGAAATTAAAAAAATATTTTTTTCCTTTTTTGCCACAGTTGATATAAATTTAAAAATATAATTTAAAATTCAACTGAAAAATTAAAATAATTTTAATTGTGACATTTTTTCAGTCCTCTACTATGTGGTCACCGGCAAGGGAGAAAGAATAAGCGTAGGATGGTAATTTTTGTTAAACAAAATTTAAAGGAAACTATTAATTTTTATAATTTAAGGTTCTTGGAGGACACATCCCCACACATGTGGTCGTCGATCGGAATTGGTCTGGCTGTAGCTCTGTCAGTCGTCGGAGCTGCCTTGTAAGAATTTTCAGAATCAAAATGTTCAAACAGTAAGAAATTAATTTTCTCTAACAGGGGCATCCACACGACTGGTGTCAGTATTGTGGGTGGAGGAGTCAAAGCACCCAGGATCAAGACTAAGAATTTGATCTCAGTCATTTTCTGTGAGGCTGTGGCTATTTACGGATTGATCACAGCTATTGTTCTTTCTGGAATGCTCGAGGTGATAAGAAAAATCATCACGATATTTACTAAACCTTTCTAATGATTTGATATTTCCAGGACTTTACTCAAGATAAGCTTTTGGAAAATGAAGCTCTTGTTTCAATGAATTGGTTCTCCGGTTACTTGATGTTTGGTGCTGGTCTGAGCGTGGGACTTGTCAATTTGTTCTGCGGAATTGCTGTCGGCGTTGTCGGTAAGTTTCAAACCACAAAATTTATTTAGCTTCAATTAAAAAACTGAAATTTTGAAATTCTAAGGCTCTGGAGCTGCGCTTGCTGATGCTGCCAATTCTGCCCTTTTCGTCAAAATTTTGATTGTCGAGATTTTCGGAAGTGCCATTGGCCTCTTCGGACTTATTGTTGGTATTTATATGGTGAGTTGAAAAATATTTTGTAAAATTTTGAAATTTACTGAAAAAAAATCTGTTGCAGACTTCAAAGGTCAAGATGGGCGACAAGTTGTAAATTGTGAAGCACAAATGTATTTAAATGCGAGTGAGCGATATAACTACACAACGTAGCTTTCATGTTTCACATTCGAAGCCACCTCTAGTCCGAAATTGGAAAAACCTAACCAGAGGCCATCGATATTCCAGAACAAGTTAAAAAGATCAATATTTGAGCCATAAAATTGCAACATTCCACTATTACATGTCTTATCAAGTAACCAACATTTCAATTATGCATAAATGTGTATTAAATGTGTATATCGTATTATAGAAATTATATCGGGACACGTGTAAATAAAATGATGAATTAATAAAGGTAGGAGTTAAATGTTACTTTAGAATTTTCCTTTTCTATACAAGCAACCAATATTTTTCTTAATATTTATGATAATTTTTTTACTAACTTTACAATGTTGAGTCCGGCTGAATCTTATTAATTGTTTAAGTCAATGCCAGTCATAGCAAATATGTAATGATTTTTTAATCTTTTTTTCATGTTCTTGATGAATTTAATTGGGTATTATTTATTGATTTTGGTAGCAAAATACCTAAAAATCACGTGAATTTTTCATTAATTGAAATGTTTACCTGGTGAATGAGGACCCTCGATGGTGAATCTTTAGTGGCAGTAAGGCAGAGAAAACTGCTTTTCTTCTTCTTCATAGTCTTGTTGACGTGGACCATTGCAACCATCTTCTCGTCAAGAAAGACATCCTTTTGAAGTCCGTGCCAAGTGGCCATCCTGGGCTGTAAAAATTAAAACGAAAAATTTAGAACAAGGAAGTGAAGAAAGTGTAGTTTTAAGTCTGCCGATATTTTACTTGTCGGGGAAAAGGGTAAGTTGTCACATTTTATATTATTCATGAGATCTATTATTATTATTATTTATTCTTCTCGGTCAATACAAAAATTTTAAATTGGAAAAAAGAGAAGAAAGGGTTTACAACTAGCAGATGTCTGCTAAAACGCCCGACATCATATTTTAAAAATAAAAATCCAAAATTGTTAAATAGTTTATTTTGTTTTGATAGTTATAATTCAAATCCTTTCAGTAAAGAGGAATTATAATACCCATCGCCGGTACAAGGCTACCTAGGACAACAGTTGTAAATTTTGAAATGAAAATTTTCTATAGAAAAAGGGGCCAATTTTGATCAGTTTCCAAAAGAAATTTGTACGCGCAAACGTTCCGAAAGTAAAAAAATCGTGAAATTAAATTTGAAAATTCCCATTGTTATTTGCCATTATGCACAGCACTGAGGCTGCGTGTGCGATGCCTGGCGGATGAAAGACGAATTAAAGAGCAAGGACGTCGCATTTAAAGATACGATTTTACGAAAATATCGATTTGTGAATCACGAAAATATTTCCAAAATTAAGGGTGACGGCCAAAAAAGCAGCATAATTTACCGCACAATTTGAAGCTAAAAAAAGAGGATACACTTCAGCTCAGGGTCGCTAGGTACATCAAATCAGAATTTTTTTAATAAAAAGTACAAATATCTATGTTTCTCTTGCTTACAAGTCCGTTTGCAGACAACTCCTTTTGTGGGCAACTACGTTGTGGGTTTGCGAGCTTCGGGCTGGAGGCGCGCTCGCCCGAGGACGTGGTGAAGGCCGGCTCCGGGCGGGACAAAAGGGCGGGGATCGTGGGGGGGCTCCTGCGGAGCCCCCCCACGAACACAGCCGCCCTTTTGTCCTCGCCCTCCGCACGGCCTTCCCCACGTCCTCGACCTCGCTGCGCCTCCACCCCTCGCTCGCGGCTTCTGCAAAAATTAATCTTGGGGGTTGCCCAACTCCGAGTTGCCGGTTTGTGGGGTGGTCTGGTTCGTGGTGTGCGTGCAATTTCCCCTCACGTGGGAGTTTTGCAAAAATCAATTAATTCAAAATTCAATCAGGATTGTAGAGTACCCAAAAACATCGCCCTTAAATGCCTTAAATCGATAAAACTGTCCCATTTTTATGCTAGTTCATTAATACACTACATGTGGCGTGACGGTTTTTTAAGAGGAAACTCCCGTCTAGGTGGCGTTTTTACATCTGTATGCATTAAAAGTAGTTAATAAACGCCTAATTTTATTTCAACTCTCATTACTTCCCATTTCATTTGCGCCGGCTTTTCCTTATTGAGAAATGTTCAGCACACTATGAGGAATGTTTTGATATAAAAAAATTTCATATTGACAACTGTTGTCCTCAATGAACTTCTGCCCCCATGGCCCCATCTATGTATGTATATTTTGTCCTCAATAACTGCGCATACTAGTTAACACTGCAGAATTTTTTTAAAATAAATTACGCTTACCAAATTTGAGTGACAGTAGAGTCAGAAGACCGCAGTTCCTAATTTTGAAAGGCTAACTCCAGATAATTGCGGCTGTCATTAGGGCGCTGTCAAAAAGGATGACCGATTCTGAAGGCGTTTGCCCGTAGGAACCTGTAAAAGCGATGTACTGTACATGTAAGTGATTAACTTCATGAGATAATTCACATCAAAGTTGAGAACTGACCTGATTAAAATACCTTCTGTCAAGAGTGGAAAATTAGCCGGCGCAAAGGGGCTCAAATTATCTCAAATTTCGAAACACAGAAGCATCTGAACACCTCACTGTTTTTACTGTTTTGTTTTGTTATTTCTTTAAATGGGGGCGTTACATGGTAGATCCGATTGAAAGCTTTATTTCTATTGGTCGGTGAAAACTTTTGTATCCAATAAGCGCTCCGATTTGAAGAAAACCGATGTCTTTAAAAATAGGCGGGAAAATCACGTGATAAATATATAAAATGTCAATTTTTTTTAAAATTGTTATGCCAACAGTCAACAATTAAAAAAAATTAATCTAAAGAGGAAGGGGTAAAAAATCTTAACAAACAATGCAAATAATCAAAAGAATTCTATTTTAAAATCGTATTGTTGCTGAGACTGGATTTGAAAATCTCAACCGAATTCTCTCATCGATCCAAGATGAAGTTCGTTTTTGCTCTGCTCTCCATCTTGATGCTCGCTTCTGTGGTCAAAAGCCTGGAATTTGAACGAGACTCGCCGGTGACCAACGATTTTGAAATCGTCGGACAAGAAAATCTTCCCGACTGCGAGGACCCGCCGCTTCCACCGGTGCCCGACTGCAACCCAGCACCCGCCAGGCCGAGGAACGAGCATTGCCTTCGCAAAGACCAACTCGAGTCGGTCATCAGCCTGCTGAGGGAAGCAACCCGCAGACTGGAAACCGTTAAGGACAAGAGACCCAAGGGTGCGGCCGGAACGCCGACAAAAGACGTGAAATCGGCCGTCGAAAGTCGGCATATTGGGCTCCACGATACTGGAGAGATGATGAACTCTCGCTCGGACGGAAGGCAGTACAGCAGACACAGGTCCAGATCGTCCTGGAATTCCCAAATGGACTGAGAAATATTTTTACTCCATGTTTATTTAATAATTGATGTCGAGGTTTTTAATTTATAATGTAATAAATATGATTTACTCTTAATGTTAAGAATTTGTTTAAATTCTTGAGAAAAAAACACGTTGAAATGGAAAAAATTGAGTATGCAGCCTGCAGAGCACACTGAGCGTGCTTGTTGCATAAGAGCGAGTTATTATTTTGAAACAAAACTCAATGATTCGTTATGAATTTTTATCTGTTGTTAGAAATTCAAATTTTAGTTACAATTTTCATGAACTTATTTAAAAAATTTCCACTAAAATTAAATTATTTCCTAAAATTTTAAAGCTCCAATTTTGTATTTATTTATAATGTAATGTTTCTTACTTTTCAATTTGATGATTTACATTTTTCAGAGGTAATAAATAACTTAATGAATCTATAAGATCATTTTGATAGGCAACTTTCATGTTACGATTTTTCATGGAAGTGATCACGTAATGGATTTTGTCCTTGCACACACGGGTGGTAATTTTTCTCCGAGATAAACCTTTGAGGGCCGATCACAAGCAGCATTAGGTAATCAAGTAGACCACGCAGATGGATTGCGATAACAGTCAAACCCATCCATAAATAACCAAAAGGATCTTGTCATTGGCGCAGCCGAAACTAAAAATTGAGCGTCCGCCGCAGCCTCGCGCGGTCCCAAAGAGGAGACGAAGAAGAATTCACGGCGGTGTGCAGACTGAGGATAGACTCGTTGTTTTGACGTATGTTTATAACCGCGGCTACGTTTCACATTCCGGCCCAAAATCAATTTATTATCTGTGCAGAGAGAGCTCGACCGCAACGACGGCCACTTGGCCGCCACACAATCTTGATCCGGTCCGACAATGACATTTACAAAGGGCGCCCACGATTATATATAATATTCTAAATACTTAATAGTTGTCTTGATTGATTTGGAGATGCGAGAATGTGATTGCGCGCGCGTCTTTATGGTGAAATAAAAATATGCTTCGGTGCACTGCTTTCGGTCATGTCCACCTCGTTGAAAAATTACTTCCTGCGCCGCACTGTGATTAAGAGTGCGGCACGACTCTCATGATTCATTTTTTAAAGTGAGATGCTCCTATTAAAAATAAATTAAATAATATTTGCGAATATTTGTTTAATGTAAAAAAAAGTGCTCATTGCAATTTATGTTTATATTGTTAGACCTTTTGCTGCAAAAACGGTGCGGCAACCTCTCTTTTTATTTTTTATCTTGATCACAATATTCAAGTTTTTTCTTGTATTTTAACATAATTACTTTTAAGCAACAATGAGACAATTCATATTACAATTATTATTTTTTGCTGATTTTGATTTGTTCTTTAAACTGATATTTCTTTTGGAACCACGAACCAAGCAAGTCTGGATGAAATATTTCTCGTTATTTTTTTTCAATATCAATATGTGTTTTCTCTAATGTTAGAAGAAAATAATTTGGTACAGTTTTATAAAAAAAAATTGAAATTAACTAGCCAAAAGTAGTTAATAGTGTCTATTATTTTGACTGTGTAAAATATTTATTAAGTAAATAATTTGAACAATTCTAGTATTATTAATCATCTTTTTTTTTAATTGAGGTGACGATTGCTTGTTGAAGAGCTTTAAAATTAATTGCCACCGTCGCCGACTTTGAGACTTGATTGAAAAAATCCCTTTGATTGCTCGCAGTGGCTGATGGAGCGGGACGAGTGAAACAAAAGCGTGGGACGGCGACGTCTGCGAGCAGAGGATGGATTGGGCTGCGCGACCAAGAAGGCACGCGTTTAGCATGAAAAGCCACCAGATTCGAGGCAAAAAAGAGCAGCCGCCGAGTGGGCGATTCGGTGTGTGTCTTTTTGGCTACCAGCTTCGCAATCATCAGATAAGAATAAATGTACAAATTCAACTACAAATTTCCAGCCCGGCCCTGCTTTTACATGCAAATCGGTCGTTTATAGTCGGAATAAATAAATTCGCGGTCGATTTCATTTTTGTCCAGTTGATGAATTTCGCGAAAAATAAAAAAAATGTTTTGCTTTTGGTAACGAGATGCAAATTGGCGAGACGGAGAGATTTATCTAATAGGAAAGATGAAAAACTGCCAAAGTCGAATAGTTCAAGGTTTATAATAGTGACTATAGGCGTTGTTGCCTCAGAATACACGGATGTGTTTGTTGTGTTCATATAGACTGCTGAAAAGTCTCTTTATTTAAAATAAGCGATTAATCAGGCTAAATTGTTGCATTAAAATCGATAACTGAAATTATTTATTCTTTGCTTCTGTTAAAGTTTCTTTGGTTATTTCTTTCGAAATCTAATTGAAAGGTTTTGATTGTATTTTATTCACTAATATGCATTATAATTATTATTATTTTATAATTCCATTGTTTAATTTTTCAAACTTCTGTCCAGTATCCATCCACTACTGTCTAAAACTAACAATAAATAATAAAAAAAAAATGTACAAACATATTTTAAATGTTATTTAAAAGTTCATAAAACTTATACATAATTAAAAAATAGTGATCTTACATATAAAAATATAAAAGTGATGAAGATACTTTAAATAACAGAAAATTTATAAAATTCCTTTTGGTAATAAATTTAAGGAATCGATAAGAATATTTTACAGCCGCTCAATTAAAAGTAAATAAAAAGCCAATTTAATAAATTTTTGCAACTTTGAATTTTGTCAGTGATGTCAAAAAATAAAATTTGAAACATTGCTAACGCTGAATTTTTACTATCAAAATTGCGTGGTCGGCCTTGGATTCGCAAAACCGAGGTACAAAGCAGGAGTGAATTTACGAAAAAGTCGCAAAAATGTGGCGGAGCGGATTGCGCTTTTTTGCGGGCGGCGCGGGTGAGCCGGCCTTTGATGAGCGCGGCCCTTCTTCTTCCTCCAGCTCGCTCATTTCAATTTATTTAGTTACTGTGGGTGTAATTCCAGCGAAAAGCAGTCCGGAGAGGAGTCTGCGAGCAGGCAGGGTTTTTGTTTTGATCAAAAAGGGACATAAAAATAGCGAGGAGCAGGGGGGTGGGCAATAAACAGGACCAGCATTCAGGTCCCTGACATGTTTATAGCCTGGAAGCAGGCGGTAGCAGAAGCACTAAAGTTTACCTTGACAGCCGACCATCTCGCATGAATTACTGCACACCGCCAATTTGATTTACATAATTCAGGCTGCGCCGCAAAAAATCCAAACAAAATAGCTTTCAGCGCTCTTTCTTTCTTGCTCTCTCTCTCTCTAAATTTTATTTCTGCTCGTCTCCGCGAGGTCTGCGGACGGACGCGGGCAGAAAACGAGTCCGGTGAATTTTCGGCGCGGCCCCGCACAAAAAATGGAATCGTGCAGTACAGACCGACTTCTTGTATGTGTGTTTCGAGCCGAGCTTCTGTTTTTCCCTTCTCTCTCGTAGTGTGTGTGTTGTTGATAAAATTATACTGAATGGTCATGCAGCATGTTTAGGGCTACTGAATTCCAACCAAACACACACTCTTTTCTTCGGCCAGCAGCACAGTCTGAAAGATATAACGTATTTACGAGGCTGGCCGAGGAAAAGAAATCAACATGCATATTATAGCTGCCGTGCTTCTGCTGTTTAATTTATGAAACCTCTTTTAATGCATCATGAGGAATCAAGATAAAGCATCGCATAAATACTTCCACAGTTCCATGGCTAGAGAGCTCTCGCCGAAGCATTTTTCCTTTTTCTGTATATTATGTAGCCATGCAAATATGGGCATGTTGACTACGGACGATTGTTATTCTGCAATGGCGGAGACCCTCTGTTAATTGATATGATAGTACTAAGAATTTAATTAAGTAATTAGTTTGAATAATAACATGAAAATCAGAAGCTCAAATGGTGTGAAGGATGCTCCATTATATGATCACAACTTTACAAATAAATTAAACATTCATGGAAATGACGAAACGAATCGCATATTAAAAAGTTTCTTTTAGAAGAAATTGCTCATTATATATATTTTTATTATAAAGAAGTTTTATGTCATATTGCAAAGATGAAAATCAGCAAATATATAATTATTATTGTTTTACAAAAAACGTTCATGAAAACAAAAACAAAAATGATTAAATTGTTATAAAAACTTATAATAATATAAAAAAACGTAATCAATGTACGTTTATAAAATTTATTTAAAAAAATATTAAATTATTTTTTTAGTTATCACAATATATTATTTTTGTCATCCATAATTAATT